TCACTGCGTTCCAGAGGAGAGTGTTGGTGACACAAAGGCACTAGGTACCCAAGCTAGCGCCCTGGGCCAAGCACCGCAGAGCCTTCAGAACCTGCCATCCAGAACGCAGAAGCTCTGCTGGATAGCGCCTCAGTCCCAACAATCCTCACATAGAGGCCCACACATTGCTACTCACATGCAGGGTAGGGGCACGTCCCTAAGAGCTCAAAAATGAAGCCCGGTAGTGAACCTTTCCTCCTCAAGATGGCTGCACGGCCCTATCTACGGTCACATGTTCCAGCCAGACGTCACTATACCTGGGCTGAACAGTGTGCGTTGGGCCTCCAGTAGGTGTGTCCTAGATGAGCTCCCTTGGTCGCTCCTGAAGGAAGCATCTGCTCTGTGGGCAGATTCTACTGTCTGCCCCTGTCCAACTGAGGTTTGCACTTTGGCCTGGCCCGCAGGTCTGCATGGCCCTGGGGCTCCATCATCTACCAAGCGCCCTGCCTGCAGGCTCTTCAGCCGGGATCTCCATCCTCTTGGTCTGCTGGCTGCTACAGAGTCCCTTTCCTGCAGGCTGCACACACCTCTCTGGGGATCGTCTAGCTGGTGTCCTAGGGAGATTCCCAGAAAAAGCCCGTGCTGTCAACCAGCAACTCATGGGTGTTCCCATCTCCCAGAACTTTAAGGATCCTTCCTCCACGCTGCAAACACATTCTCCTACCTTCACCATTTGAGCAGGTCCACGGGGCTGTGGAGCCCATGACACCAGCTGGCCTCCCTTTTCCTCCTCCCAAGGAAAAAGAAGTTAGGACTCCAGAGCAACCCGAAGTAGGGATGACTGTGAGGAGGAGGAGGAGGATCAGGGCTAGGAAGAGACAGACCAGAGCAGGACAATGGGGAAAGCATGCTTCTCAAAACAGAAAAGCAGCACAGCCAAGCCCCTGGAGATCCAGGGAGACCTCACTGTGGTGCAGCCCATTCCTGGGCCTCAGGAGGGAAACACTTTGAGAGGACCCAGGTGGGAACTTGTGCTCTGGTTGCCATGCTGTCCCCAACAGGAACAGCCCTGCTGGGGTGTCCTGAATCTGGGGCAGTCTGATGCAGTCAGCCCCAGGCTCTGTGCTGCCAGAGAATGGGGCCAAGGAAGGCTGGATGAACACCATTTGGGGAGCTATCGAGGTTCCCATGCATCAGGCAATGGGGTGCAGGGAGAAAAGCCTTTTTGTGGTCCATTTGGAAGCTGTCCTCTGCCCATTGCTGCTAGCTGGAGGCCCCTTGAGAGAAAGAGGCCCATGCCAATGGCCCTGCCGCTGCCAATACCGAGAAATTTAGATGAGCTGCTCCCACTTTTGAAGTCTCTTCTTGTTTTCTCTGGAGGAAGACTTTGGCACCCTGCAGGAGTAGGTTCTGAGTTTGAAGAAGAATAGCAGTTTGGAGGATAACACAGAGACCTCAGAGGTTATGGTGGAGGCTGTGGCAGACTGCACTAGTACTCAGCCTGACCTTTCTTTCTCCCCACCTGGCTCCCACAGGGACTGCAGACCCACTGACCCCACCCACTGACATTTGTCAGATGCCAGCTAGCTATTCCTGCCACCTCCCAACTGGCAAACCAAGCTGCTGGGCCCCTGATTCTGTCCCTCTGCCTCCCCACCTCCACACCCAATAGGGATGAGAGGGGAATCCCTAGTTGTCTTCCTTTGTTCTTTCCAGTAGCCCTCTTCCTCTTTTTAGGTCTAGTCCTAAGATGGGGGTCCTGGCCATGACAGTCAACACTCACTTAGCAAGAGCTACAGCACCTCCGGTTTACTACAACCCTATATCTTGTATCTCAGAGCCTTTTTCTGGCAAGGCTTCTCCCTGCAGAATGGAAATCCCAATCCCCATGTGCACAGATTCTCCTCTTCCCTTTCATCCTCCTCTTCTTTCTCTTCTACTCCTTCTCTAGTCCCTTCCACCAGCAACCCGATCAGCACTGGCCAGTCCCTAACTCTGGAAGTGTCACTTCCACAACCAGAGCCAATGCATCTGTGCTTCAGTCCCAGGAGCCAGCTGGAGATCCTGATGTCACAGCCATAGGTACTATTCTTCTTTCTAAGGTGGTCATCTTCAGAATTGTCCCTGACTTTCCAGGGAGCTGCTTCCCCATTCACCCAGGTGCATTGGCCTAGGCAACACAGGCAACTGGCTGTGGTCTATTCTCCACAGGCCCACCTACACCTAGGATCTCCTTCACCAACCATTCCAGTTCACTATTTGTACCAGCAACCACTCCTCAGCCAACCTCTGGGAGCTTTCTTGGGCAATAAAGGTGACCTGTCTCTGCAACACTGCAATGCTTCTCCTGTTGCCAGTTATGGATCATGCACTCACTTCCTTACTACCAGGCAGAGCCTTTGCACCATCATCCTTCAGCCCTGCCACTGACACTGCTATGGACACCACCTCTCCTTCTAAGGCTCTGGTCTCCCACATTCTAGGGTGATTTCTGGTTCTGGGAAACTTTCACCCAGTGGTAGCACTGCCTTGGCTTATCTCCAAGGTGGGGTGCAGGAGGCACCCTTTAGTCAATAGCTAGGGTTCCTCTTGGGCAGTGACAGCACAACTTTTTCTTTTTGGGCATTCCAGGAACCCCAGAACAGATTATGGGCTTAACCTCTGACATAGCTCAACTGGTGAGTTGGGCAGCACAAGGCAGCCAGAATTGGGCATATGATATCATCTCCAACCCCATTTGGAACATTTAACAGCTGGCCAGCCTTCCCCCGGAATCCAGGTATAGGTACAGTCACATGATCTGGCTAAGGACTTGCCACCAAGCACAGATGGCACTTCACTATTTGCCAGCATAACTCCAGCTCACAAGAGTGGAGGGAATGCTGGGTTTGGCTCCCCATCCCAAGCCCTGGACCCAAGTCTGGAGACCAATCTAGACTGTGCTGGATCTGAGGCACCCCACACTGGAGCTTTATGGATACTCAATAAAGCCCCTTCAATGTCTAGCTTGGCTGATCTGAGCTCTAGGCTTTTCCTTGCATTTGGACCTAGCTCTGATGTCCACTGCTAGTTCTCTTCTCCCTCCCTCCCATTGCTATCTTTCTCTAATGATGTGCATAAAATCCTGTTGATTCTAGTTATCTCTCAGTTTCTGTATCTTCATTGATTTGAAGCAGTGGTGGAGAAAAAAGTGGCATGATAGGTGGTGATATTTGGCGCCAGACTTTTGACAAATGTTCTCAGTCCAGGAAAAAGGACGTGAATGTGCCACTTTTATGACAGCCGGGGCAAAAGGCCAGACAGGACTTCAAGTAAAAGAAAGCAGGCTCTCTATTCTTCAGTGGTATAGCTCTTGAATATTTTGCCTGAATGGACTTCAGTTTTCCATAATGATGTATGATAATCTTATTCCACTTTAAAAATACATACACACACACATATTTGTGTGTGTGTGTGTAGGTCCCTGCCCAGCTTTGCCTCTTTTCCACTTCCAGATCAACCACTTCTTTTTACCTCCAAATCTCTAATTATCAATGTATAAGCATTATCAATTTTCAAGTCACTACTACAGACTAGAATGGAACTTGATAGTAATATCAACAACCCTATCCACATCACAATCTCCTTTTCTCCCAATTAGGTTGTATTGTGAATTTATTTCACAGTCCAATGAAATAAAAATTACTGCTGAGCAGTGTAATATGATGACTTTTCCTATTTTAATTTTTTCTTAATGTTCTGTGTACCAGTTATTTACTCAACCGTAAACTCCTCACCAAATTTATAATTCTTCTCTAAATATGTTAAATATATCAGTTTGTCAATTTTTGGTGAAAAATATATCTCTGGTAGCCTTCTTCCATGTGGACTGGTGGTTTTCTATGCAGTCATCTTGGTCATTCCCTTGTATTGCTGGGTCTTTCTTTTGTTCACATCTTCCTCTTAGTTTAATCACTCATTTTGGTTGAGCAATAACTTTCCCAATAAAGGGCATAAAAAGTAAAATTTCTAAACCCTGACCTTGGATGGCTTAGAAATTTTACCCACCCTTTTACCAATTGAGGACAGAGAGACTTTTCCATCAGAATTTTGAAGGTATTGATCTATGTTCTTCTAGTTTCTGGCATCATATTATTAAGATTTTCCATCCTTTCTATGAAAAGTATTTTTATTGTAGGGTTTTTGTACTAAAATTCACAATGATAAACCTTAGTGTGGGGTTTGAAAACTGATGGCCTTCAGTAAATTTCCTTGAATTATTTCACTAATCATTTCTTTGCTCTCCTCCCTCAGTTCTCTCTTTATAGGATGTCTATTATTCATACACGAGGCCTTTTGTTCTGGTCTTTTCTTTCCTATTTTCCAACTTCTCTGTTTTGTTTGTAGTACATTGTAAAAAAAAAAAATCCTCAACTTCATTTTCTAATACTTCTATTGAGTTTTAAGTTTATATTTCAAGATGTTTTTAGTTTTCTGGATATTTGTTTCTTGTTTTGTAATGGAGAAAAACTACTAATTTTTTACCTGAGAAATTAATGGCAATTCTTTAAAAAATGTTCTCCTCTCCTTTCATAGTCCCCCTTTCCAACATACTGGGTTGTTCTATTTGCTTGTTTTGAGGCTACCTTTTACCCCAGATGTTCCTCAAATGTGCGGTGATCATTGGCTATCTGAACATATTAAATAGGAAGATATGAAGCTGCCAGGAAGTAGTTGGAGTAGAATTCGTTTGTATTTATTCTTATATTTGTTGATAAAACAGACTCAGCTAAACAAAACAATTCACTATTTCTAGACTAAATGAGGAAAAACTACACCAAAGTAAAAAAAACATAAGTGAGGCTGAAAATTCATTTCTAGCTCTTAATTTTTCAGCCTACCTGCTGTTTAAAAAGCTGCAATACATTAGTACTCAAAATTTATATGAACCAGTCACTATTCTGACAGGTCAGAGGGCCATCTATTAGTTCAGGTAAAATCAACCTGACACTCGAAATAGTTTTCAATAAAAAGTCATTATATTTCAAAAAAATTTTCCTCTTTATTGAAACATAAAACACATTTACAGCATGCAGGTTAACTTAAAATTATATGGTGTCTTCCCAAACCAATTATCTTTGCATGTTTTTCAAGCACTGAAAATAAACCAACATATTCCACAGGTAGACTCAGACTCTATTCTGTCACCTCATGTCAAATTCAGAGTCACATACAAATTAAGAGTTATGCACAGTAGTCAGTTTCCTTAAGTTAAGCAAATAATTTAATTGATCACCATGAATAAATATTACTTTTATTTCACTGAGTTTATCTTCTGAACCATTACTCAATACCATTCAGAGTAACATTAATATATCCAGTCAAAAAAAAAGGACTGTAAATTGAAATAAGTGTCAATATTCTAGATGGTCAGACATTTCAATTTGTGAGAGTAAATGCTATATTTAATGACCTACCATAGCAAAAAGAACAGTTCACTGAAAACAATTTTTATGAAACTCCTGGTACACTTTATGAAATTTTGAAATTATAAATAGAAAAGAACCATTAAGATATTTTTAAAAACCTAACACTGTGTATTCTGAACCACATGCTAGTTACAATTCATTGTTTGTTACACAGCACCATACCCATGATACATCTTACAAGAAACTACTGTATTCAGACGAGAAAAAAAGTTTTTTTATGAATATTGCTAAAGAAGCAAGTTTTCACTTGAGAACAAAATATAAATGTCTATGTGAAAGCAGCCAAATGTCTCTCCATTTAAAAAACTATCACCACAAAGAGGCTTGTAGTACTTTCTTATCTGTAGTACTTATATTTCACTGCACCCAAGATTTCATCTCAATTTATGGAGTGTTTCTTTTAATCAATTCTAAAAGCAACAATCATTTTAAAGGCTGCAGACTACAACAGCAAGGATTTTTGACTGTTAAAAAAATAAATAAATAAATTTTTCTTTCAAATCAAAATTATTATAAAAGTGGAAATTACAATAGTTAAGGAAATAGAAAAATAAGCCAATTATGATCTGAGTCTTCTGACTAATAGCTCCAAATTTAATAATACAAATATCTGTGTATAAAACTTTTTCAAAAAGTTAATTCTGCCAGCCGTATCCTAATAACAGAATTCTCCAGTTTCTCTACATTCACTGCATACTTCTGCTAATGTAGTTGTAGTCACTCCCCCCACCAATGGTGAAGCAAACATTGAAATCTCTTCCCTAAAATAAACTGTTGACTTAGTATAATGATCTGAGGAAGAAGTGGCAAAAACTGGTACATAGTTTTATATAAACTATGTGTGTGTGTATATACACATACACATATATACATATATATGTGGATATATATATATATATATATATATATATATATGCACAAAATTATGGGCTATGGTCAACAATGTAATTTGTTTGAGGATTATTAGTGATTTGCAAACAATTCACTATTTCTAGACTAAACGAGAAATAAATTATAGTGTATGACTTAGTGTAGCAGGTTAAAAACACCTTTAGAGACTGTGACTAAAATTTACCTACATATCTTTAACTTCACTGTGTATCTGTCCTGTTTATTCATTTTCCCCTCAATTTTCATAGGCTAAAAATTTAGATCGGCCCATACAATAACTAACAATATAAAATTGTTTAATTTTATAGTATCTTAATTCATTTTACTATATGAAAGATGACAAATTGATACCTGCCCAATTCTTATATTAGCTAGCAGGCTCATCAGAATGAAGCAAGGTATTTTCATTCCGTTAAGCTATGTTAAGCATAAATGAGGATGGGAGATAACTCCCTCTTAAACTGAGATTTACTTTTGATATGTAAAATATTTCCATTCAATAAGTGGGCAACAAGCATTTCAGAGGATAACAATCAAGTAGCCGTGCTCACTCAATCTCAAACGCCTAGTTAGGGCAGTTGTAAGGTTTCAGTGCTTAAACAGCAATTTTCAGAAGCAAACACCAGAGATAATACAAATCATTTTAACCCTGATTTCACTTCAAGGGATTTTAAAATACAGTACTGACCTGATATATTTTGTGGACATGTAGTGTTGGAAGTGGTAAAATGTAAGACATTTAATCTAAAGATTCAATTTTCCCTAAAAAAAAAAAAGAAAGAAAGAAAGAAAAAGGAAGACATGTAATAGGAAAAGAAAAAGAGGAAGCAGTAGCAACCAGGTAACTTAAACAGAAACTCAAAATTAAACATCCATTAAAAAAGCAAATATAAAAAGCATAGTCCTACTAGGTATAGTTAGCTTGGCACAGTGAAGACTAATTTAAGACACAAAAGACAAACTGTGTAATAAATAGGGCCACAGTTGTAAACTGTCATTTTCTCTTCCTAAGACATCAAAATTGCACTCTAGTTGTGTTGGGAAGCAGCAGAGTTTCCAAGAGCGGGTAGGAACAGCTGTACAGGCCAGGTATAATTTGTACATTTTAAAAAGTTATAGTTCTACTATCCCAAGGGGGTAGAAGTGACAGTCACTGAATGACTATGTCCTCTTCATACTTCAATTACTTTCAACACCTGACAATGAGAAAACAGGGGGAAAATTTTTTAGTTTTACAAAACTCATGTTTGAGACAATCATGAAGGAAATAAAATATGCCAACAGATTATGAACATTTTAGCCATTAGCTTTGACCACTTTTTAAAAGTTCAATCCTTTGGGGCTGAGATTGTGGCTCAGCAGTAGAGCGCTCACTTAGCATGTGTGAGGCCCTGGGTTCCATCCTCAGCACCACATAAAAATAAATAAACAAAATAAAGGTATTATGTCCAATTATAACTGAAAAATATTTAAAAAATAAAATAAAAAGTTCAATCCTTTATGTTTTTTCCTCCTAAAATTAAAAGGTTGGCTAATTTTTAAAGCAATATACAGTCATTAGTGCACTCTGGGGTTTTTTTTGCGGTACTAGAGGCGATCTATCACTGAGCTATACACCTAGCCCTTTTCATTTTTTATTTTGAGACTGACTCTTGCTGAGGCTAGTCTCAAACTTGTGATCCTCCTGAGTTGCATAGATTACATGCATGAACCACCACACTTGGCCTGTTAGTGACATTCTTAAATCAAGGACCACTAACCAGCAACTAGTTGTCACATACATGGTAGCTATTAAAAAAAAAAATGTGGGGAGAGAGGAGTGGAGGGATATGCATAAACAAAAAAACATAAAATGATAGGAAAAGAGATGGGTAAAATAAACAATTATAGAAGTTGTTCTCTGGAGTCATCTTCATACTAAATTGCTACTTATGCATTTAGCTAAAAAACTGTTCAAAGTGTGGTCCAAGACATAAGAAGTATCATGTAAAACTGAGAATTAAGGGTATTAATATTATTAACATTGTCATCTTACCCCAAAATAAATACAATGTTTAAAAAAAATTATTTTTGGGTACGAGGAATTGAACCCAGGGGCCCCCAATCACTAAGCCACAACCCCTGCACTTTAAGATTTTTTTAAATTTGAGACAGGGTCTTCCTAAGTTGCTTAGGGCCTCACCAAGTTAATGAGGCTGGCTTTGAACTTGTGATCCTTCTGCCTCAGCCTTCTGAGTAATGAAATTGGGTTTTTTTGGGGGGGATACTGGGGAATGACCTCAGGGACACTCCAACACTGAGCCATATCCCCAGCCCTATTTTGTATTTTATTTAGAGACAGGGTCTCACTGAGTTGCTTAGCACCTCACTTTTGCTGAGGCTGGCTTTGAATTTATAATCCTTCAGCCTCAGCCTCCTGAACTGCTGGGATTACAGGGTGTGCCAATGCACTCAGCTGAAATGTTTAACATTTTAAAAATAACTTAAAATCTTTTCTCTACAGAATTTTTAACTTTCAATAATTTATCACCTAAATACATCTTGGTTGAAGATTGACTGGTATAAGAAACTAAGAACCACCATCCTTTGGAACAGCAATAAAACAAACCTATAAACAATGATACTGTTATTATAATTTTCAAATCTTCAAAACTGGGTTTAACTGGGTTACCTATCTCTATCATGGGCTAAACTGCTGCACATGTGTTAAGGTCAGTAGTATTTATTTAACTATGACTTAGTCCAGTCAGAAATGTGTTCACTAAATCTAACCAATACTTTTGATATACATTTCAATACACAGAAAATAGAGGGGGATAGAGGAACAAGGCATATAAAACAATCAGATATATCCTGAAGGAAGTGTATACTCAGAATAAGTGGCCTAGTTCTCTTTAGTACATCAGAGTCATTAAGAAGGGGGGTTATTCTAAATTAGTAGAGATGTAAGGGATAAAACTAAGTACACATTTGGATAAATTCAAATCCAGTTTTGGATTATACACTGTTCTAGAAAAATCAGCTGTATAGGACATTAAAACAAAAAAAAAAAAAAAAAAAAGAGAGAGAGAGAGAGAGGAGCTAGGGGTAGAGCACTTGCCTAGCATGTAAAAGGTTCTGAGTTCAATCTTCAGCCCTACAAAAACAAATAAAATAAAATAAATCCTAACATGGATTGGTATTAGACAATATTAAAAATTATTTTATTAGGTATCATTGTGGCTATGTTGAAAAAACACTGTTTTAGATTCATTAAATAATTAAATCATAAATCCATAATTTATTTTTATGCTGAAGAATTTTTTATAAAGTCAAAATGAGAAGGAAAGTAACCTAAAAAATTATTTGTCTCAAGTTTATAAAAGTATTGTCAGATTCAAACTTACATGAAATCGTAAGTCCACACTCTTTTCTTACATCATTGGCTTTTAACCTTATATTGTATGGTTCAATTTTATATTAAATTGTTGGAAATGTGAATCCTTTAGTAGAATGCTTTATTCTTTACTCAGATTTAGGGACAGTATTATGCAAAATGCCAAAAACAAGTTAGATTAAGAGAAACTGGCCTGATTATTTGTCAGGACAGTAACAGTTAACCATAAAATTATCTAGTATTGCAGGCGTGAGGCACTGGGTTCAATCCTCAAAAAAATAAATAAAGGTATTGTGTCCATCTATAACTTAAAGGAAAAAAAAAGATCATAATGTATAAAGAAAGCTCTTCAAAGATATATCTAATTTATTGGGTAGTTCTTTTGATACTTTTCTTCTATTTTGATAATTTTTATCTTTCTCCAGGGAACAGATAGTACTTATATAATTAAAAAAAAAAAAATAAGTAGGGCTTGGGTTGTGGCTCAGTGACAGAGCACTTGCCTCGAATATGTGAGGCCCTGGGTTCCAAAATAAAGATATTTTAAAAAATAATAAAACTTGGAAATCTGTTAGATAAATCACCTACAATAGGTAAATGAAAAAAGTACAGAGATAACTCATAAAAAATGAAATATAAATGGACCGATAGATCATTAAGATGCTATTTCAGCTATTTTAATTAGAAGCTTAAAAACTATTAATACTCAATGCTACCAAAACTGCAACCAAATAGTATATCTGACTCATTGATTTTATGTAATCTTTCTAGGAAGCCTTAAATATATTCACACTTTGTAATTGCACTTCTGGCAATCTTCTGAAAATAATCTAAAAGATGAGGGATGCTTCATACTTCAAATATCATATATAGAAATATCAGTTTTGGAAAATAACAAATATGAAAAAAATTATTATATCTCATTAAATTTTCAAGAAAAAGGAATAATTACAAACCATGGCTTACTCATTAGAGAGAATACCAAGAACAATTACAAATGATCCAATGTTAGGTTTAAAAGCAGTAAGAACTCAAATTTGTAGAGTATGATCTGAATTTAAAAGAAAAAAGATTGGAAGAAACCATACTAAGTTCCTTCTATAATCATGAAAGGAAAAAATGACAGTAATATAAATTAAAAAAAAAAAAGTCCAAAAGTCTATTTAACAACCAATGGCTCAACACTTCCATGTGCAGCTATGATTCAAAAGTCAGATATAAACTACAAACCTGTGAAGATGTGTAAATGTTTATACTTGTTTGCCTCCTCCTCCTCGTACAGCCACTGGCTGACTATTCTGAACAAATGCTCCTCCTCCACGAATTGCACTTGGATGAGTTGGAGAAGCTGCTGGATGTTGCCCAGGACGAATAGGTTTAGCTATTAAGAAACACAAAAACTGACTTAGAAAAAAGCTTAACACACAACTGCAGTGACTGTTTAGGTTTCCTTTTCCTTCTAAAGAATTCCCAATATATTTTGCCTTTTTGATTTCTCTCTTTCTGAACACATCCTTTTCTCCAGAACCTATACAATCCTTAGCTCCTTAAAACTCTTATTCCTGCAGCAGTAATTACTCTGAAACATGAAATAAACACTGATGGCTTATTTTCTTGTAATTTCCTTTTTGCTTTATTAATATTATCTGTAGTTTCTCGTATCCCTAACCATTCTTGCTTGCATCTACTTATTTATCTACTTGTCCTAGTTATGTAGTTATTTCTCAATTTCTCTTTTCCTTCCTAAAGGTGTCACCCTGGAGAGCTATAAACAAAAGACAAATACTACCATGAGAAGACATCAAATTTCAGATCATGTTCAAGTACACAAAAGCATTTATACTTCAAAGTATTCATAGCTTAAAGGTTTTCAGTATGTTCTACTAACCAATCTGTGCAGAATGCCCTCTTCTGGCCATATTCTTTGACCTGACTGCTTCCTTTATGCGATCTACTTCTTGCTGATAACGTTTACGATCACGAGATGCATTTTCTTTGGCTTCTTTCAGTGCTGACTCCAAAGCTTTCACTCTCTCGGCTGTCGCTCTAAGTCGCTTCTCTAACTTAGGAAGTTCACAGCGAAGATCTGCATTATCCCGTACCAACTAAGGTACACAAACAAAATACAGATTCTAGCTTTAACAAGATGGTTTAAGAATAAGAGAATTTCAAAATTTCTCTTTAGAAAAGAAGTAAAACTACATATTCTGTAAGGTTTTTCCATTTAGCTAGTTGAATTTAAGCAGCAACATGCAACATTATAAACATTCATACCTACTTACACATATTTCTCCCAAAGATATACTTTCATTTAATTTGGGGGAAGAATGGATTGTTCCTTTGTCTCCTACTAAGCAAAAACAATACAGTACACATAGTGATACTGCATAGTGCTTTCTTCAGTGTTCATAAGGTGAAATTAATATCCTTTTAGGATATTAAAGCACAAGTAAGTATAAACTTAGTGTGTCCCTTAATTAAGTATTGAAGATAAGTCTATCTTACTCTGGTGCTAGATAGCAATAAAGTTAAAAAAAAATAGAGTGTGTTCAACTTTTTTTTATTATTATTTTTTATTAGTTACACATGACATTACAATGATCTTGGCAATTCATACATTTGAATCATTGGGGTATAAATTACTTTTTAATAGTAATTTAAAATCATTTATCAAGCCATAATTTTAAAAATCAGGAAAAAACACAGAATTATTTAAAAAAAAAAAAAAGACTGCCTCATTATTTTAGATAGCAGGAGAGTAAATGTAAAAAGACCAAAATGGGGATGATGAGTCTATTTTAACTACAAATACTCACCTACCAAAAATTACTATAAAGAAATAAATAAAACCGACAGATCTAAAATCCTGCAGGGGAAATAAGAATACATGTTTTTACTGGCCTTGGCTGATATTAGGGTTTTTAATATGGCAGTCTTTAGTGGTTTCTTTTTTATAATCACTTACTACAATGATGGAATAGCTCAGGGTATAAAGAATTCTTACGACACTGAAAGATTAAAATACTTTGTACTTCAATCTTAAAATCTGTTACCATAAAATAAACTATTACCTGTTTGTGTACTTTAGTGAGTTGTTCAAGATTATTTTCAAGAAAGGAGATTTTTTGCTTTTGAGCAGCACTGCCTCCGGTGTCATCAGAATCGATCTCAGCACTCTGAGAAAAGAAGTTTGATAAATACTGTGAAAAAAATTTAAAATCCCCCCCAAAATCTAAGCCTATCTACATAAACATTTATATGACAATGTAAAATCGTTTCACTGATGAATAACCACCTCAGCATTATTATTACCTTTTTAACTCTGGTAGCCAGGTCCTGAACAAAGAGCTTGCGCAGATTATGTAAAGTCTGAAGTTCTTTTGCCTTGAATTAAGAATAGCAATATTTTTGGAATTCAGTCTTTAAATTCAGGGAAAACACACACACACACACACCCCTCCCCAATTCTACTCATTTTTACATTTTTCTTACCACAGTCTCTTCCAAACCCTTCAGGTCTTGTCTTGCTTGTTCTCGCCTATCTTGCATAACACTACAAGTAGAAGAATGTATTTTTTCAAGTTTGATTCTATAAATTCTAGTTTTATTTAATGCAAGAGCTGAATCAAAATATTTTGTGAAAGAATTGATCATTAAATCCAAATAAATGAAATATACTTTAAGTTAATCCATATTGTATTTTCCAAAGAAATTTTTATATGCTTTATAACCTTTTACCTGGGAGGAACAATTATTGGGGACTGGACCCAGGGGCTTTACCATTGTGCTCCATCACTAACCCTTCTTATTTTTTATTTTGACATAGGGTCTCCCTATGTTGCTTGAGGACTCACTGAATTGCTGAGGTGGGCTTCAAATTTGCAATCCTCCTATCTCAGCCTCCCGAGTTGCTGGGATTACAGGTGTGTGTCACCATGCCCAGAATTTTATATATTCTTTTAAATCGATAATTTTCACTTTGAAATATGCCACATATGTAGTATACTGCTACTTGACCAAAATGATACTGATTAACTGGTTAATTAATATATAATAGAGATTATAAACTGTCCAAAATTAACATTTTAAATTGAAATTATTCTTAGCAAAATTATGGCTGTAATTCAGCAGAATATTTATAAAATCTTCTCTGAACTGGTTGATGGTGTAACAATCTCAACAGTAATTCACTGTAAATTGTCTTAGAAATTCAAGAAATGTGAAAAATTATAGCCACAAGTTTTTTATCTGCTCAGATTCTGGAAAACTGAGCATTAACTCAGTAAATGAGAAAGAGTCAACAGTGAAAACCTGTTTGAAAAGATAAGGTTAAAATAATAATTTTCCTTTAATAAAGTCAAATTTGACAAAATGTCAGTTTTTGTGGCAGGTGTCAAAATTCTCTATACTACTGTCATGTTTTAGGTTTATTTTTATAATGGCTCCTGAAGTAATATGACAACAAAGAAATCGTAACTTGGTTGATAACAGGACTCGAAATCTTGACTACACTGAAATATAACATTGCTTTCACTGAAGTACAAGTGTATATTGCAAGCTTTTAGACATAAATCAACTCAGAAGACTGATATTAATTACATAACATATACAGTTTTATTTTAAAATTTTAAATGAAAACAATTACTCACGTAAGTTCATGTAATTTTCTGCTCTTTTCCTGATCTGTAGCTTTCAGCTTCTCATGTTCTACTCTTAGACGTTCTTGCTCTAACATCATTTTCTGGTTTTGGCTAACAAAAGAAAAGAAATATAAGCTCAATTTCAATTTTCTGGATGTCATTGTCACAATTTTTGAAGGCTAAAATTATATAATTACAGGCCTCCTCTGTTATCCCATCAGGGCAGAAAGGGAAGGGGACATGCCTAGTTAGAGCCATATGATATTTTTCATATTTTGATTTAATGATTTTATTCAAGAAATCCCTATTCCTGCTTCCATTACCCATTAATACAGCACCCACATGTCCCAAATTTGTCATCACTTTGTTTTTTACTCTCCTACGGTTCCTACTTAAATGGTTGCAAACCTCTAATGTATACAGTTTATGGGTATGAATCTGATTATGGAAGTAGGCAAAATGTACTCTATATAAACTGAAATGACAATTTCTACTAAAACATTAGCATTTTAAATCCCACCATTCCCAGGTAAAGACTTTTCTCAAATGACTCAGAAATTATCTATTTGTTATAATGAGTTTAACATAGATTTCTTTTTGTCTTTTTACTGAATATTTTGATAAAATGACCTAAATTTCCAAGAATTTGACCAGGAACTTAGATGTTTTACTCATAAGTATGAAAATTCCTTATTTCTCAAGTAAAAAAATCTATAGGTTTCTAAGATTGTCAGTTGGAATTTATTATTTCATCCTGCTTAAACAACCACTGTTTATGAATTAATTTATTCTAAGAAAGAAACAGTATAATACTTACTCTTGAAGATCAGTTATAAGTTTTTCCTTTGCCTCAACTTCATCTCTCAAACTACTGATTTGTTTTTGATGAGTTTCTCTGTGACTCTGGATTTGTTGTTCAACAGCTTGCTAACATTTTCAGAAAAAAATAAAGATATTAAAAAGAGACTAATAAAAACTATTAATAATGATAGACTAAAGCCATTAGAATCAAATGTAACATCAGACTTGCCTTAACTTCATTTGCAGTCTGAACCTTATTTAAGTGCTCTTTTTCCATCTCATGGACTTTTTCTGTTTGGGTAAGGAAGAAAAGAATGAAATAAACCTTCTAGTTTCTCACCAAGCCAAGGAAACAAATGGGTTGTGTTATATTTTTCTTAGCAGTCCTCCAATCAATGATATGTTGACTAGTACCCTTAGTTATATCCGTTGTGCTGATAATATGGAAGGGAAATGAAATAGCCTCTCAGATCCCTATATTAAGATTTAAACATACATGCACACGTACGTACTCTCTTTCTCTACATAACTTTGTGGGACATTCCTAGATTGGCCATTTATATATTCTAACACAATTTAAAAAAATATTTTAAAGTCATGTTAAAGTATTATGATTTGCTTATCATTCCAAGTTATCTATATTCCTATCATTTTCTTTATAAGTATACAACATTTACATTAAAGTAAAAAAGGATTAATATAGATATAACTCATAGATAATTGAAAGATAATACCTTGTGCTCGGAGCTGGACTAATTCTTCACTGAGACAATCAACAGATTCTTCCAGCTGTCTTTTCTTTTGCTCCACATTTTGAAGGTATTCAGTCAATGACTTAATTTTGGCTTCATGCTTTCGAGAAAAAAATATACTGATATGAAGTGGAAAAAATATCTCATGCACACATTTTGTTATAAATATTTTCAAGGAAATAAGTTTTACTAATATATGTAAATGTATAATAGATCTGAAGGTATTTCACTCCAGAATGTTCAGGTACCAGATTTAAAACATTAAAGAATTTATTCAATTCAATGGTTACATGTATAGCTATGCCAGTTGTAAACTAAAGCAATGAAAGATTACAATATAATATTTTTCTCACTACCTCCATTTAATGTCATCCACTTCCCTTTGTGAATAATTCCTATCTTGGTGAATGACCCGTTACTCAGCAGCCAAAATGTAAAACTGGTGCTCTGCAATCCTGCCCATTCTGAAATTCTTCTAGTCTTTAATGGTCATAACAGTCATATCTTTAAATATACTTATTGTATATACATATTGGCAAATATAAACTAGTTAAGTCATTCAAGTTATTATACTATAGTGAGATTAGGTAAACAACTTGATTAAATTAAGGTTTTGATTTAGTTACTGGCAATTTAATTAGTTACAGAAGCACAATTTATATCTGTTTGTTTAAAAAATAGTAACACACATACCTGAGAGATACGAAGCTGGCATGCTGCTAACTCCTTTTCATTTTCTTCCATTTTTTTGTTGCTCTCAGTTTGTGTGCTTTCTAATTGTTTGCAGCGTTTCACCATTGTTTTTACTTCTGACTTCATTTTGCTAATGTACAGTCTTGCAACAGTGAACTCTTCATCTATCATGCCAGTTCCCTCAGGTTGCTGTGAGATAAAAATGAAATAAAAACTTAAAGCCCAAAATATTCAAGTTTGTGTTTTCCTATTAGACTTGAAAGTCTGCAATTTTTTATAATTACTCTTTTAATAAAGGGCAAGAGCTTACTTTTTCCTTTCCTACTTTGAACCCTGAAATAATATTAATCTATGCCTACAAAACATAAAAAAAGAATATAAACATGAATATACTGATGCATTATACCTTTTTCAACTTCTGTATTTCTTCTTCACAGGACCTCTTCTGTAAAATCATTAATATGCAACTTAATAAGGGTACTTAGGGAGGGAAAAGAAGACTTTTAAGCTTAATAGGAGGAACCATGGTTACTTCTGTAACTTTTACAGATTTTATTAAAAAATTATTAGTGGAATTTGGAAAAGAAAATTTTTTTTTTGTTTTGTTTTTTGGGTTTTGTGGTTGTTGATGATATGAATGTCAAGAAAAACTCCTGGAACTAATAAGCCATTATAGCAAGGTTGCAGGATACAAGGTTGATGTATAAGTAAACCGTTTTCCATATATCAACAATGAATAACTAGAATTTGAAATTAAAAAATACAATGTCATTTTCATTAGCACCAAAGGAATAGAAAAAACAATATAAGTCTAACATAATATGTAGAAGATCTACATATAGAAACACCAAACACTGATGAAAGAATATATTCCCATCAAAATCACAGAAAGCTATTTTGTGAATATTGACAAACTAACTTTGAAATCTGTAAGTAGAGTCAAAGATCCTGAATAATGAACAGAATGCTAAAGAAGAACAAAGACTGACACTAAAGATTTACTGTAAAGCTTCAATAATCAAGATAGTACAGTAGTCTCTTTCCTAGGGAAATATATTTTAAGATGTTCCACACATGCCTGAAACCAGATATTACTTAACTTTGTATGTGCCAAGTTTTTTCCTATAAATATATACCTATGATAAAGTTTAATTTATATAGTAGGCATAGTAAGAGACTGACAACAACAGTAAAATAACAATTATAACTATATAATGTAAAAAGTTACTAAAAACTTATGGTTTAGTTATGAAAATTTTTACTTAAATATTTTCACACTATGGTTTACTGCAAGTAACTGAAACTTTGGAAAGCAAAACCATGAAGAGGAAAAGACAAAAGTATTGACAAAAGAAAAGATAATTGTGTCAATGGAATAGCAGAGAGAACACAGGAATAGACCCACACAAATATAGTAAATAAGATCTCTAACAAAAGATAGTCTTTTAAACAAATGGTGCCATAACCACACATCCACACACAAAATAATGAAACCTAATGCAGATATTATATCTTTAAGTTAAAAAACTTAATTCTGAATGGATCACAGACCCGAATGTAAATACAAAAGTAAAAAATTTTTAGACAATAAAAAGGAGAAAATATAGGTGACCTTGGGTTTGGGGGTAAATATTTAAATATAATACAAAAAAATGCAATCAATGAAAGAAAAAAAAGGTTAATTTGGAATTCACTAAAATTAAAAATTTCTGCTCTATAAATGACATTGTTAAGAGAAATAAGATAAGACACAGACTAGAGAAGTATTGTAAAACACTATTTGATAAAAGACTCATAATCAAAATGTACAAAGAATTCTGAAAACTCAACAAAAACCCAAATAACCCAACTACAAATTAAAATAACAATGACCTAACCTTATACATTAAGAAAATAGCTAATATCCAAAAAAAAAAAAAAACCCAAATAATATTAAATGATGGTGAGGATCTGAAACAAGAACTCAATTAGTTGCTGGGAGGAAGGTAAAATGCTATAGCTATTTTAGAAGACAGTATGGGAGTTTCCAAACACATAATCCAGCAGTCACACTCAAAATCACACTGCTGGATATTTTTACCCAATTGAATTGAGAACCTTATCCATAGAAACCTTGCATATGAATATTTATGGCAGCTTTATGCATAATTCAAAAAGTAGAAGCCACTGAGTAGGTGAATAGATAAGTTATTCATAAATTGTAATATTACTCAGTAATAAAAGAAATAAACTATTGCACAATGAAAGACATGAAAGAATCACAAATGAAAGGTAGTTTGAAAAGCTTACAGTGTGATTTCAACTATATAACATTTTGGAAATGAGAAACACAGATCTTGTAAAAACATAAGTCTCGGGGGTAGGGGTGAATAGGTTAAAAAAAGCATGGGGGTAGTGAAAGTATTCTATTCGATACTGTAATGATGTAATGATGGAGCTATCATATACAATTTTTATTCATACAAATGTAAAACAAAGATTGAATTGTTATATGGAAAAAAATGTAGAGGCTAACAGGAAAATATAAATGTGTAAATGGTACAATTACTGAGGATCCTCATTTTTAAAAATTTTTATCCAAGTACCTATTTGCAAGACTGACTGACATTCAAAACACTATAATGGCATAGTGAATAAAGCAGTCAAGTAATCAGGGAGCCCATACTCTATCTCTGGCTCTGCCACTAAACATAAGCTACTTCTATTTATTTCTCTAACTTTATCATTTTTTCACTTAGATTATGATTACTTGAACACAAAATGGAAAGGCTTTTTTTTCTTAAAAGAAGTACTTTAATATATAAAGCAAATTTTGAACAACCCCATTCTAGTGTTTAATGAAAAGAAGTCAATCTTTTCCATTCCCAGAGGTTCCTACATATCTCTGTATCTCATATAACTTCACCATAAACAAGTTAAGGCAGAATGTTCAGACTGATGGTAAAGAGAGTGTAAAGTAAGTCACCCATAATTTAATAATACCTTTCCTTTGTTTCAAAGGTAAGTCAATGAAGAAATGACCATATATTCGAAAGGTCACAAGAATCCTTGCCTTCATCAACAAAAATCAACTTTAAACAATAAACAAATGGAAAGAATGTGTGTTCCATATAAAAAAACCTTTATCTTCATTTCTAACTCTTGTTAAACTTGACTTTTTGTAGGCGCTCACTATAAACCCAAGTACAAGCTCATTTTCCATGTTATTATAATTATTCTTTTTTTTGCATGTGTGTGGGGGGAATACTGGGGTGTTACAGTTTGGATGTGGTGTCCCCCTAAAGCTCACATGTGAGACAATGCAAGGTTTGTAGGAAAAATGACTGGGTCATAGCCTTAACCTAATCAGTGGTTTAATCCCTGATGGTATTAACTGAGTGGAAACTGGAGGAAGTGGTTTACTGGGGGTGTGGCTGTAAGGTATATATTTTGTATCTGGAAAGTGGAGTCTCTGTTTCCTGATCACCATGTGAGGTGTTCTCCTAGGCTACCCTCTTCTGCCATGATGTCCTGCCTCACCCTCAGCTATGGAGCCTGTTGTCTATGGATTGAGACATCTGAAACTGAGAGCCCCTAAATAAACCTTTCCTACTCTACAGTTATTCTGGTCTGGCATTTCAGTCACAGTAGTGAAAAAGCTAACTAAAACAGGGGGACTGAACTCAGGGGTACTTAACCAGAACCACATCCCCAGCTCCCCCTTTTGATGTATTTTATTTAGAAACAGGGCCTCACTGAGTTGCTTAGCACCTCGCTAAATTTCTGAGGCTGGCTATGAACACATGATCCTCCTGCCTCAACCTCCCAAGCCTCTAGAATTACAAGCATATAATTGTTTTAATCAAAAAAGTAAGGTCCAAGGAATAACTACTACAACATACAAAATTTTCATATTAATGGCATATTTTAGAACTTAAAAAAGATAGGAGCCAGATGCAGTAGCTCACATGAATAATCCAGTAATTTGAGAGACTGAGGCAGGAGAAGCCAAGTTCAATGCCAGCCTGGGCAAAATAGCAAGACTATTTAAAAAAATAAAAGGGCTAGAGGTAAAGCATCATTGGTTTCAATCCCTAGTACTGAAAACAAAACATCAACAACAAAAGATTATTTGAAGGGGCAAAAAAAGGGCATAAAGCATGGCAGATTTTTAAAAACTGTTAACTCTAGAAGTTCCCCCTTCTAGAGTTAACAGTTTTTAAAAATAGGGATTGAAATTGATAGGGATTGAAATCAAATTCTCTCCATGTATGATTTTGTCAAAATGAATCCAACTACTATGTATAATTAGAATATTCAAATTAAGAAAAAGATAACTCTAAAGTTCATTATTATTCTCTGTACTATTGTATATTTAAAATATTTCATACTAAAATTTTTTAAAAGAATGAAATACTCATTTTTTACTTAGAGCACCATAGTTTCTTTCCTGAGCTAATCTGTTCCAAAGACTTTCACATATGGCAATTTATTAAGATTAATTTCCAAGTGTGAAATCCTCTCACAGTAGGAAAAAAAGCCAAATGTGAGGTTTGATAAGTGCTACTTACTGAAGATTTTATTTGGATAACCTCATTCTCTTTTTTTTCCCCATATACCATCCACCACACATGGCTGTCTTAAGAATAAGTACGGGTATGGAAAGTATGTAAAAATTAAGTGGTAAACGAAAGTCTGAGTTACATATAGATTATACTTGTTATTATATTTACCTTTACATCATTATTTCCCACAGCAATTCCTATTTCTGCAAGGTCTTTCAGTAAAGATGCCATCATCTCAGCTGCTCGTTTCTTCTGGTGGTTGGTCATTTCCTTAAGTTTCTGAAGCTCAGCATCTATACTTGCTAAAGTTGCCTAACCGGACCAAAAATAAAAAGTATAGTTAAACTATTAAATGAATATAAAATTCAAATATTCACAGGTATTTCAAGTTTTTCACCTAGCTCTTACTAAACTGCTGAGAGACATAGCCAAGTAGGAATGACACATGGCAATTTCCTTGTCAGCCTACCCCATGTTGCTTAGAGGGAGGACTCTCCATTGTGGAAATGGGCTTGCCTTGGACCCAGGTCATTTGCAGTGACATTGCATGAATGTTTGAGAAAGGTGACCCTGCTCAAGGACCAGGGTGGATCTGGGTTTAGGGCGGTTCCAGGTTTAAGGTGTATCTTGCTGGGAATAGGGCATATCCTGCTGCCTCCAGGCCCCCGCTCCTGGAGTTCCTGTTGAGTTCTCGCAGGATTGAGAGGGTTTTTGGAATGCAGAGCCAGGTGGAGGTAGTGGATTTTTCCCCAGAACATGCAAGTAGAGTGCTGGTGAGAGTTCAGGAATAAAGAGTTGCTGTTTGAATCTACAAGGCTGTGAGTGGCTCGTGATTTTGTGTCCAGCCAGACTGCGGCACTAAACCATGTATCATGTTCCTGAACTATCTACTGAATACTGGGCCAGCTCCCATCTCAAGCTTAATATGTACTTTAACTTATAAACTATGTCATAAAGCAGCTGTATTATATTTCACTGAGATAAAGTACCTACTCTTAAATTCACTAGATTTTTGAGACTGAATGTTTTCTGCCTAGAAATGAGACACATCAAAATTAATCTTTGGAAATAACATCGTTATTTACAAATAACAAACTAACTTTATAATCAAACTAACAGTTTTCTATATGGTTAATGTGCTCTCCTCATCCACTCTCTATATACTTATGACTTAAAAGAATATACTTAAACCCAGGGTTTTTTGCATGGTAGGCAAGTACTCTACCACTGCACTATATCCTTATCCCCCATATTACTACTTTTGATACATGATGCAATTCAATAGGTGTTAGTGATGAAGTAATAGTATTACTTGACTTTAATGACTGTAAGTTTAAATTAATAGCTATTTTACCAGGTACAAAAATCACCAAATATTGAAAATTATTACCCATTTTGGCTCACTTTAAAGCTCTTATATCACAGATCAGATGATGCATCTCTAATGCGACCTAATGATTTTTAGTCAATATATTTTAGTAATGATGCCCTCATCTCAGTTGTTTATTTCTTCTAATGGTTGGTTATTTCCTGGAGTTTCTGAGCATCAGTACAGTGTATGTTCACCCACTTTCATCTACAATATGATACCAGTTTTCTTGAAAGTGTCATAACATAGTATGCTTCTATCATATATGTTTAAATTGCCTGACATTTTCTCTAACTATCAATTTATTATTAATATCGGTTAAACATATAAAATGATGCTAAACACTAGTGATTTCTAACTAATTATCAATGTAATGTTGACTTTAGCTCCACAATTGAGACATAATTACCACTGTTTGGAAGACTAAAACCAGTAGACAAGGACCAACTTACAGACTTCTAAGAAACTTCTGTTTTTCTACCAGATAACAATTAAGTTTCTTAATATTAAATCAACTCAGGAAAAAATTTATAATGATGTCTTCAATCTCTGTGGTACAAAATATAACTTCAAGTCAACAATTACTTTGGAGATTAAGAAGAGAAAATGAATTCATCAGGAACAAGAAACCTTTTAAAAGTGCTATTTTGTAGAGTTCATAAACAGGGAAATAAGTGGTGGATATTGATCCTGACTACAAGTCTAGGTGCTGATTTCTTAACAAAAAGCTAGCATTAACAAAAACAAAACATAAGAAGACAGCTCATTAATGGTGAAACTAAAACAATTAAAGCTACTTACTATTCCTGGCATCAGTATTAGAGGTTGGCAATTCTGTCCTATTGCAACAAGTAAACATCTCCATCTATTGGAGAACCATATGAAAGATTCTAATAGGGAAGGCATAGGTGGTGAGTATATAATAGTGAACAAAAGGTTAAGTTATGTGCATCTATATATTCTCATGACTACTACAAAGAATTCACTTAAACAGCATTTTATTTTATGTGCATGTCTGTATTTGCTGTTTGAAAAATCATTTAATAGCTTAACTAAAAAAATAGGTTTCTTTCCCCCTTTAGCATTTGGAATATCATTTAAGAACAGCCAACATCTTCAAAAATAGAATTTAAGTTACATATTAACAGACCTTTATGAATCTCAAGAATAATCCTCCTTCCCTACCTATACCTCTAAGGCTTCACAAACAGATGGAATTAAAGTTGAGGGCCTTGAAAATTGATGGTTTCAATCATAGTCTAATATAGAAATAAGATACTTAAGTAATTTTAAAATGAATATTGTACTAATGTTTTAAGAAAGAAAATAATAAATAAATCCTACCGATTTCTGATTCAATTCATCGCTTAGTAGTTCATATTCCTTAGTTTTGTCTTCAACTTCCTGAGACTTCTGATCATAATTGACAGCAAGTTCCTCTAAGGCCTGTAAAACTTCTTTTACTTCTTCCTTAGAGGCATCATTTTCTGCTTGAAGGCGATTCAGCTCTGCTTGCATATTGTCTTGATCCCTTCTGGTAGATGCCAAAAGCTATACAAAAAACAAAATATCTATTTGTACTGAAATTATATAGGTTTAAAAAAATCTATTTGATTCATCATTGCTAAGCACAAGGGAAATTAAATGTGGGTGCTAGGCATATCAACATTCATCAATTTAACAGATTTACTGAATGCCTATTATGTCTAGGCACTTTTTTAGACACTGTGGCAAACTGGAAAGCAGATATTAAAATAAAGACATTGGCTCTGAAGAATCCAGTAAAAGAGAAGACCATCACATAAATAAGTGCAATACAAGATGGAATGTAAGAGCCACAAAAGAGGAAAGGGACAAATAATGTGCTTGATAGTATAAGAAAGGGGGATATTTCTTGAAGGAATTCATAAAAAAGTCGGCTAAGGATAGGGAGATTTAAGTCTTGTGCAAATCAGAATTGATAGCAGACAAAGGAATTCTAGACTCAAGAACAGTATACACAGACACAAGAAGTCATATACTCAGAAGAATTACTTAAAAGTTTAGGGCTGGGGATGTGGCTCAAGCGGTAATGCGTTTGCCTGGCATGCGCGGGATGCGCGGGGCGCTGGGTTCAATCCTCAGCACCACATAAAAATAAAAGATGTTGTGCCCACCGAAAACTAAAAAATAAATATTAAAAAGTTCTCTCTCTCTCTTTTAAAAAAAAAAGTTTAGACTCATTTTGGGTGAAACAAGGAGTAGCATCTGTGCCATGCCTCAGAACTATGGCATCAACATATAAAAATTTAACTGGAAGAACAAGAAGAGACTAGTCAGGAAAATACTACAACCATGCAGGTAAGAAGCTTTTCAGTAGGGACATCAGGAAATGTGTATGAGTGGTTCAGAGTTGTTTACAATGCTGGGGATTGAACCTAGGGCTTTGTACTTCCCAGGAAAGTACTATACTACTGAGCTACATCCCCAGCTTTGTGAGAGTGTCAATAATGGGAGTTAATAGCATTTAGAAATAGGGATGAGGGGTGCTAAATGTCCTATATAATGCATAAGACAAAAAAATTATCCATGTCAAATACCACTTTGAGAAACAATGCTATAGTAGAAATAAGCATAAAAATGAACTGACCACAACACATGACATTTTCAATTCCCCACAAAAAGAGTCATATTCAAAATTAACACTTTAGACCTGTACCTTGTGTTTAAATGAATGAGTGAATATAAAAAATTGTGTTTTTATACATTTGTTTCCTCATGTACTTTTTATTGAGGGAGAATAAAAAGATAATCAGCAATGTATTTCGAACACAAAGTGGAGGATAATTAAACAATCCAATAGATGTTTGCTAAAGAATGAATATTTTTAAAAGATCTCTTCTCCCCTCCAGGTTAGAGGAAATTCAAACTTCAAAATATGATCTTTTATGTATCACATCTCTGTAATTCCTTCACCTTTTATATTAAAAGGATAAAGACCAACTGTAAAGCTTTTCTGGAAGCATCATAAAAGGTATTTAACTCACCTCTTCCTGATCTAACATTTGTGTCTTCAGTTTTTCTACAAGTTGGCTCTGTTGGTTAATTTCTTCATCCTAGAATTTTAAAAGTACCCAGTTAAAAAAGTAGCTCACAACTTGGTTCTGTTTCCCAATATAAATTTAAAAATGAATTTCCCTCAAAATATTTCAAAACCATCTCTATAAATTCAACATAGCTTACATCTTAAGAAAATTTTGAAAGAAAAAGAATTTCTTTCAATCATTGGTATAAAAGTCATTCACTAAGTACTTTAATGTCTAAACAAAAAAATAAAAGTTTTTAAAAAGTTTTTATTGAAAATGGTCATGTAGCCCACTTTACACATACCATCTGTTTAAAATATATTAAAAAAACTGTGTGTATGTGGGGGGAAGGGATGATTGGGGACTGAGCTCAGAGGGCTCTCTACCTCTGAGCTGTACCTCCTAGCTCTTTATTTTTATTTTGAGATGGTGTCTCATGTAACTGCTGAGGCAATCCTCCTGCTCCAGTATTCTGAGTCACTGGGATTACAGGCATGCACTATCACACCTGGTTAACCAATTTTTTAAGGTTAAAAGAAATCAATGAATGTGTATAAATATCATAAAGACCCTTAATACTGAAATTTGAAAAAAAATAGAATAAAAATACCTGTTAATAATATTCTGCAACAAAAAAAGATCTAAAATGAACAATGCCTACCTTGTCATCAAGTTGTTTATACAATTTAGCAATTTCTTCTTCACACTTTCTTCTTTCACCATCAGTAAAAGTTCCAGTAACTCCAATTGTGGCTGCTGGTTTATCATTGGTAATATTTATATCCTTATCCACTGCAAAAGCTTCCAAGTTAGCTTTCTCTTTGTCAAACTGTTCATCAACAGGCACTGTTTCCCCTAAAATGAGACAATAAAATGGTTAATCAAAATCTACCTATCTAAAACTAATTTCAATTTTATTCATTTTTACTTTCCTTCTTGACTGTATATTTTCAAATAACATGTCTTTAAGTTTACATATTCTTTTGCTTTGATCAATTCTGCTGTTGGTGTTCCTCATTGCTTTTTTTTCCCCCCCATTATTTGTTGTATTTTTTAGCTCTAGGATTTCTGGCTGATTTTTAAAAATTATTTCAATATCTGCTAAAATTTTTCACTCTGGTCACTTACTGTTTTCATTGGACTCTCTCTCTCTGTATTTTCCTGAAATTTCCACAGCTTACGACAGTTAATTCCAACTCTTTGTCCAGTAGCTAATATCTCCCTTTCCTCCCTTCTTACTTCCCTCCTTTTCTTTTCTCCTCCTCATGCCTTCCCTCTTTTGGTACTGGGGACTGAACCCAGGGGCATTCTATCACTGAACTTCAGCCTTCTCACTAAGTTGCCCAGGCTGGACTCAAATTTGCAACCCTCCTGCTTCAGATTCTCAAATTGCCAGGATTACAAACATGCACCACTATACCCAGCATATCTGCATTTCTTTAGGGTTAGTCACCAGCACTTATTTTATCCTTTTGGAGATGCCACCTTTCCCTGAATGTTCTTGACACTTATGGCTGTGCTTTGAGGCACATTTGAAATAGCTATTTATTCCAGTCATTGTAGATTGGGCTCATCTGGGAAAGCCCTTCTACCGTCAGCCCACCCAGAAATTCCAGGTAAGCTGTTATGAAGTAATTGTATAGTCTGGAGCCATTAGGGTGGTTTAGTGTTAGGATAGGCTGTAAGACTGGAGTTGCAATAGCAGCCATGTTGCTGAGGACTGTCCAGAGTCTGGGCTTTTCCACCTGACACTGAGATGATCTGAAGGCTCAGTCTGTAAGTTACTCCTTGGATAGGGCAATGGGAGCCTGCCTACTGCTGGGTTTTAGTGTCCTGGGGTCCACTGAAAAATTCTGTGTTCATTTCCTTCTCTTTTTCCTAAACACTATGATATGTGGGACTGAGAAAGAGATGACACAGGTAAGATAAAATTGTGCTTTCTATCTTCTTCATTAAATCTTTTCCTAGTTTTATGCTATAAACAGGTATTGTGATTTCACCTGGTTTCTTAACTCTCATGGTATTTTCTTGTTGGACAGTTATTCAAGATTCATGGTTCTGCAGAGGATGACTGCTAGCATCCTATGTCACCATCTTGCTCTGTCCCTCTCTTACTCAGTTTTAACAGCTATTAGCAACTTTCTTTTCTGTCCAGTCTCTGAGATTCTAATATCTGGAATTATCTTTGATCCTCCTCTATTCTTTGAAATTCAGTCACCAAATCTTGTCATTGTATTGCCTCCACCCTTATCTAGGCACCCTGCTATGTTGTGACTTTCTAATTAGCACCCATGCCTATATAATTACTATGTCAGGTAAAACCAAAATTTAATGTAAAAGATTTTTTTCCTTTTTATTTGAAGACTCCCAAGTGTTTCAAAACTTAAAATGAATATGCTTTGTAATTTTTATTTATATTTTATGTCAAAATCTCAAGTTTATAAAATAGGCCTAAATCTCTATTCAAAAAAAAAAATGTAAGCAGACAAATTCTGAAGTTATTACCATTACGCCATCGGTTGAGTTCATTTTCAAGCCACTGAATGGTGTTCCTCAGGGTCTTATTTTTTTCTTTTTCTTTTTCATACTTCTTTTTCCATTGTTCTGCAGTTAACTCTACATTGACACAAACTGTATTCTTAATTGTTTTGGCCCTAAAAAATGTTAATTGGGGGGGAAAAGGATGTGACTGAAATTATTTTTCATACCTTTATGTAATATGTTTATATGGTTAAGTAATGCTCCAGACTGTCCTGTTAACATGGAGTTCTCTCAGTCTAAATACTAAAAGCTATTAGATAGAGTGCTCATTCTATTCACAAAACAGCTAAATTTGAGCCAGACCCAAAAATCTATGAAAAGTTTAAAAAAATAAAAATCAACCACCCATTAAGTTAAAAAAAAAAGTACATATATATTCTCAAGTGATTTGCATAGTTAAATTAAAAAAGTAAATTATCACTAAAAGGTCAAAGATAAGGTCACTGCCATTGATTTTCCTAGACTAACATTCTTATACATTATTTGAATCTGTCAGGCATGTAAAGAAGCTTAATGAAGGATTATATTTGTTGGGCTTTATTATATGCTTCATATTCTCATTTGCATTAATGGTGAATATAAAGTTGCTCACATAAATTTGGCTAAAGTTAATGTTTGACTTTAAATGTCATGAAATTCAACTCAAATTTAAACAGCATAAATAAAATGTAGACCCAACTAGTATTGTCTAGTTAAATTAAAAAGTAGAGTCTAACACATCAATAATATGCACTAATTTAAATATTAGATATTTGACAGGAATAAATATAATAAACAAAAGGCCTATATTTATTTATTATTATTTTTTTAGTTGATGGATCTTTACTTTTTTATATTTATGCAGTGCTGAGAATAGAATCCAGTGCTTTGCACATTCAAGGCAAATGCTCTACCACTGAGCCACAACCCCAGCCCTAGGCCTTAGATTTCTTAACAACAAACCTTTGACCAAATAGAAGTGTAGATTTTGTCTCAGACTCATTATATGATGATGGAGAGCAGCAAATAACAATAGTGGTTCTACAGTTGCCACCTAATGAATCTTGAAGAATTCTTGTCATTTTACTGTCTCGATATGGAACATATGTCTATAGTCAAAAACAAAGAAAACACAGAAGATTGAAGGGTTTCTATATAATAAGTACGTTATATACTACTCTAAATAATTAATCAGTTAGTTTAACTGCTTGATATTAAGATGGGAACTAGGAAATGTACACTAATAATATAAATTATTAAAAGATGATTACATTACACATATTATTTTTCTCTTACTCATAAGAATACATCTATAGTTAAATAATTCCCCATAAAATAACAAGATAATTAAAAATATGTATACTCACACTACCCTCAGCCAAAGCAGAAATGACATTTCCAAGTGCAGAAAGTGATTTGTTAATGTTCTTAGCTTCATCCAGCACAGCACCTTCAGCTCCAGTTTTACTAACCTATACGTAAGATCCCAAATAATGAAAAAAAAAAAAAAAGTTGAAGATGATTTTCTTTGAATTAAAAAAAAAAAACTCATATAAGTCATCAGTAACCAGAAGAAAAGAGAAAAAAATGAAAGATTCATGATGCTATTGTCAAACATTTAAGGTACTCCTATTTTTTGAGTTCTACTTTTAAAGACTTTATCAAACAACTAGTTGCATAAAAATATGATTAAAGAGACATCAAATTTTATTTTTGGTTTGTGTTTCTGAAGATAACCAATTGACATGCAAATTTCTATTTAAATAATTTGCTAGTCCCTTTGCTACACTGAAAAAGAAATCTAAACTTTACTAAGCCTAATATTGATGCTATAATTTAAAAAGCAGTTTAAACATATAAGAAAACTTGCTTCTTTTAAAAAATTGTAAAATGTCTAAATACCATGTTAAAGATAAGTTAGAACAGTAAGTTAGCAATGTTACTAAATAAATGGTTTCTTGCACAATGAGAGGTAGTCTTTGAAATATGTATACAAGACTTGAGTAGAAGGGAATAAATACATTATTCTAATCCGAAGAAATGATATTACCAGAACAATATAATAATAATGGTGACAGTGGTCCGTACTAAAACATCCAAACATTCAAAATTTAACATAAACTAGAACTAGATTAAACAGAATTATAATAATGACAAACATTCAAAAGGAAAGAAAATAAATAAGCAGAATGGACCCTTTGTATCCATACATTCAGCCATGGAAAAAACTCGGGAAAAAAAAATTCATTTGCACTGAACACATATAGAAGTTTTTCCCCCTTGTCATTATTCTCTAAACAAAATAAAATAACTTGGGCTGGGGATGTGGCTCAAGCGGCAGCTCGCTCGCCTGGCATGCGTGAGGTCTGGGTTCGATCCTCAGCACCACATACAAACAAAGATGTTGTATCCGCCGATAACTAAAAAATAAATATTAAAAAAAAATTCTCTCTCTCTCTCTCTCTCACTCTCACACACACACATTCTCTCTTTAAAAAAAACTATTTATACAGCATTTACATTGTGTTAAGTATAGGTTATATGCAAATACTAAGCCATTTAATATAAGGGACTTGAGCAGCTGAGGATTTGGGTATAGAGACTTGAGGGGTTTCTGAAAAAAATCCCCACAGACACTGAGGAACAACTGTAGGATGAAACCAGAAAGGACTAAGGGACTAGTTTTAATGGTCAATACAGAGAAAATAAATAGCAAAATTAAGAGATATCTAATAAAATGCATAATGACATATGCTGAACAACTTTTTTTTTTTTTTTTAAGAGCTTTATGTCTATACATAGTATACATAGTTAGGTTCACCCGATAAACTCATACATGCATGAAAATCAATTTCAGTTCAGGAACCCCCTTTCCCTCCTGTCATCACCCGCCCCTTTCTCTATTCTGCTAGATTTCTTTTTGCTCATCAAATAATTTGTTTTTTATTGGTTCTTTAAGCAATCAAAATATAGATTTTAAATCAAGGTAGTACTTACTGGTTGAACCAAATACGGCCAGACGAATTGGAAACAGATAATTCAACTTACATAATCATAAAGCATTGGCAATTAAATTTTCAGATTACCAAATACAATATTATAGATTTTCAAATTATAACAATGAAATACTACATAAATCCCAATTTAAAATTTAGAAAAATGCTTAAGTATCTATGAGAGTATATAAATTAAGACTTTACCTTTTCACTACCGGCTAAATCAACGAGATAAAGTTTTCCACTCAGCTTTTGCTCTGTTTGAGTGTTTTCTTGTTTTACATTAATAAGAAATATACTGTGACTCCTAGAACTATGTTCATTCATATCTGAAAAGAAAATAAACAATAATAAACACGGCTTTCCTTCACTAATTAATTTTCCTAAAGCATTAGTTTATATAAGAAAAGCCTTGCAATTAATCAACTAGAAATAAATCCAGTCATTCTCATATCCTTAAGGATATAAAATTTGACTTATTTCCTAAGTAGTATTAACAAATTTTCTACTTACTTGTAACTGCTACATGTCTGTTGGATTTTCCTTCATCTATGGTATCCATAACTTCATCTGGACTACATACAAAACGCTCTGTGCACCCCTGTGAAATAATTTTTAAAAGTAGGTCAATATTCTTCAAAAAAATTGTTATGAGGCTATTCTAAACATTCTCTATTATTTTAATAAGTACCTTTACGTAGGGAACTCTGTTTTTGTCTTCATGAACTGAAAGGTTGGTCTTTGAAACTGAAAATTAAAAATAAATAATATCATCAATATTACTCTAAACTCTAACACTAGCTATGAAATAATTCCTATAAATAACAGGCTTCCTTGAACAGCCTAAAAAAGTAAAGTAAACTTTTAAAACTATGAAAATACTGCTCCTAAAGCAATATTTCATATACAATTGGAAATTCAATAGAAACCAATGCAGCAATATACAATTTTAGGTCCATTCAAACTTCTATTACTCACATTTTATAAATAAGAACATTAAGCTTAAGTGATTCAATAGTTTATATATGGACAATGTATCTAACTGACAGCTCATCAGAACTCGGGTTCTGTAACTCCCAATTCTAAGTATTGTTTAAAAAGTACTCACTAGTATATTCTTTAAATCAATTATTCTGTATGTCAAAAGATATTCCCTAGAACCTCAAAAGCAAAACTTTAAATGCCCATTTCCTATCATTTAAGTCAATTTCATATATAACTTATTAAGAAGTGGTCTCATCCTACTAATAACAGATAACCACTTAAAAATGAACAAAAAGCAAAATTTTAACTTACCATCTAGTAGGTCCCTTATCTTATCCAAATATATTTCAAAATATGAAACCTAAAGGGCAAAGAAAAAAGATCAAGCCATTAAAATTAGAAATTAGCTTATTCACTTACCCATTAAATATTTAATGAGGTCTGACTAGCAGTTATAGTCTACACTAGGGGGACAGAGTTATAGATTAATTAGTGACACTTCACATTCTAATAGAAAGACATAGATTAATTAAGTTGCTTAAATACTTAAAATTAAAAGCAATTTCTATTATATATCTTCATCTAAAATAAATCAGACTAGACAGAACAGAAAACAAGATTTTTTACTTTATATAGAAGGTGGCTAGAGAAAAAAAAGAAGGTGGCTAACTACTTTGCTTACTATCCTCAGATAAATGATAAAAAAATTATAGACTTAATTAACGTATTTAAAGTAATCTAGTGGCATATGAATAAGAATCAAGGTTACTACCTTTCAACTATATATGGCTGAAAAAATAATTTTACTATTCTTTTGGAAAAAAATTATTCTGGTATAGGCCTAAACACAATTTTCCCACAAGGATTTACCTTAATATGAAATTCCAAATTCTCATCCATGGAGTAAATATAATTAAAAATATCTTGTACTATTCTTGGAATAATACCCATACCTTCTGGATCATGAAGTTTACCCTATATGGAAAACAAAATTAGACTTCTTAAATTAATATAAATTAAAAATAAAAACTTTCAATCTATAATTTATATTCAATAGGATAAAAATTTGTAATAGCTATTTTTTAATGTATAGCTCTACAAATACCCCTAATCCTATTCAATAATATACATAATATCATACATCAATCTCATAGTTTATCAACTGATCCTCGATCTTTATCACAACATCTAGATGACCAATGCTTGTAAAATGCATATATTTGAAAAGGTTTTAGTTTCTTTCCATATAAGTCTGCATTGTTCCTTCTACTTCAAATCAAATTCATGCAAATGTTAGGAATGTCTTTATTCTCTATTACTTTATGAGAATGAGTATTAGAAATTATACCAAAATAAGCAGTCAACTACTTTGCTTACTATCCTCAGATAAATGATAAAAGCAGACGACCTGAACCAGTGGTAGAGAATCACAGGCTGTTTTATAGAAGCAAAGCTAGAACACACTACATCTATTATTAATAGCAGCACTGATAATTGTGACAACTTTCTTATCTGAGAAATGTTGCAGGTATTTTGGAGGGAGGGGTCAAGGAATGGAGAAAAAATTAATGTCTCTAAATAGAATAAACAACACATAAGAATCCAAATTTTCCCATGTAATAAGGGGGTGACAGAAAATCCCTGTTATACTCTAAAATGTTATCACGTATGCTAATTGATAAGATAAAGGTACATAATACTTCAAGCATAGGTTATGCCTTATTATTCAAACTCAGGAACTAATTTGATTCCAACAATGATGTTCCCTGTATATTATTTATATGAGGAAAAGCAACAAAGAATAAAGATTTAAGCATAGTAAAATAATCTCACAAATAATGAATGACTTGTCTGTACTGCAAACCATATTCAAGTACAGATTATAAAGTATTACCTCCATTGTGTGTGTCTTCCCAGAGGATGTTTGTCCATATGCAAATATTGTTCCATTATATCCTTCAAGTACATCTATGAGAAAATGAGAGATTTTATATGTCAGGGAATGTGTTCCTTCAGTAAGATTCATAAAAAATTACGTAAGAATGTTATAGGAAAAGTCACACCTAACCTTAGTGACATATAAACCATTCTAAACAAATTCACCAACACAACTATGTTCTTAACCCATGTATATTCAACTCTGCAATAATACAATATTTGTAGGAAGAATGATAAGATTCAGATTTTCTTTACACCAATGTGAAAGAGTCCATCAAAGTTTAGTACAGAAAGGATTTATATAAAGACATCAAAAGAAAATAAATAATACATTTCATAATAATTTTTCTTAGTGATGATCCATCTAAGCAATTTCCTACCCTCAGACCTAAATTACTTTCTATGATCAATTAAGAAACAAAATTTAAATTAGATTACTTATAACCAATCATCTCAAATCAATGTATTTCAAATGTGTTACATTTGTATTCCAAAGTATTGTGACCTAAAAAAAAAAAAAATCCTTATATACAGACATGAATTAGTTTTTAGAAACAGGATTAATTATAATTAACTGGTGGTTAAACTTCACAAACCCATACTTTTCTCCTTACCCCGCCCATAAAACATAACACACTCAGCCCTATCTCAAAAACAATTATCAGAATATTCTTATGAAATTACAAAAATATCTTTTTTAACTCCAAGATCTACCATTAACATATTAAGTATCTTCCACTATGAGGCTGAAGGAGATTAAAAAAAAAAAAAAAGGTTACAAACAAGGCAACCTTTAGATTTTCAGTTTCAATGATTTTGTTATTTTGGTTTTGATGATAAGAAAGGTACTATATAATTGTCATATTTTCAAGGAAGGCAAAATAAAAAGCCTCTGTTACAAACAGCAGATGGTGACAGGAAAAACTAAAGCAGTAAGAAAGTGAATCCTTGTTTTTATTATTTCTAAAAGGAAAAGGAAACAAACTCCCAATTCAGACACATGTAACTAGACAAAAGATTCACTACAGAAGCTAATGAGAAAAAGAAGGCATCAGTACTCAATTCCCCAGAAGATTTAAAATTTTTTTTTTTTTTGAGAGAGAGAGAGAGAGAGAGAGAGAGAGAGAGAGAGAAAGAGAGAAAATTTTAATAATTATTTTTTAATTATCAGCAGGCACAACATCTTTGTTTGTAATGTGGTGTTGAGGATTGAACCCAGGCCGCACACATGCCAGACGAGCGCACTACCGCTTGAGCCACATCCCCAGCCCAGATTTAAAAATTTTAAGAGACTCCAAACATTTGAAACTTTCCTTCAAAATTGGTTTTATTTTTAAGATGGGGCACAAAATCATCTCACAAAGCACATTTATGATAGATGGGATTGCGACACCTTTGCCAGTAATTCTTCAGAAAAAATTATTTAGGAAATAAACCTTTTAGACCCATTCCAATTCACCTCCTTTATATAAAACTATTCTCAATAGGTCTATGTCACATTCCCTGCTTGAGATGTTTTAATCGATTACATAAAACTTAAGCATAAAATTTTGTTAGAACTTTAAAAGGTACTTTCATGAGATGATCTTGCTATTACCATGATAGGTATTAAGTAAATATCTGTAGGTGAATATCCATTATCATAGTATATTTATGCTATATGAAACTATATAGCATACGAGAAGTCCAGGGATAACAAATGATATTTTAAGCATATCTTTAAAAGTTTTATGATTCTAGAGATTGACACTGAAATATTTGTTTAGTGTCCAGTATGATCTAGGCTTTGCTCAGGGAATAGGAGATATAATGATTGATTAGGTGATTTTTAGACCTGTCATATGTACTAAATAAGTATTTTAATCAATTAGAAGCATATAGTAGTCTTTTGTTATCCAAGAAGGGTGATTACAGGGCCTTCTACAGGTAACCAAAATGTTCACTCAGTCTTCCATAAAATGAGATAGTATTTTGCATTTAACCTATGCACATCCTCTCATATACTTTAAATCATATCTAGATTACTCATAATACTTAATCCAATGGAAATGCTATATAAATAGATATTATATTTTATTGTTCAGGAAATATATAAATCTGTATACATTTAGCACAGACATAATTTTTCAAATATTTTTTATCTGAGGTTGGTGGATGCAGAACCTAAGAATACTGAGGGTCGACTATGTTTTCCTCTATCTTCAAATCTCAACCTGTTTTCTACAGCAATTTTACCCTAAGCATTTAATTATAAAAATTTAAAATTTAAATGTGTAAAAATTTGAATTTTACAGTGAACAATCCTATTATCAAATACTCTACCACCAACATTTTATATTTTTACTGCTTCTATTAATCAGATATTTATCCACTCCTCTAATAATTTAAAAGTAAAATGCAGATATCAATACATTTCAGTATATTTTCACTTAGATATTTCACCATGCATATATACTTCTAACTAGAATTCAGTATTTTACATTTTTCCTTAGGTGTGTATATTTTAAAGTATACAAATAATACTCAACTATTTGAAATTCTAGGGAACACTAAACTGTAATCAGATAAAATTAGGTACTTTTAAATTTCATATGGTTCAACTTCAAAGTCATAGTATAAATGTTTGCTATTTCTGCACATGCAATGGTTTGGTCCAGGGGTCATCTCTCTGGTTGGAAGGCACCATTCTCTTCTCCTTAGTCTTTGTGTATCCTTTAAGACACACTTTTGTCTGCAGAGACATACTCTTAATCCCTGTACTATATTCTCAAGAAGCACAAGAGATAAAATACATATGTTAGCAGACTACATGTGAAAAAATCAGAAGTGGCAGGTAGTCCAGGTAGCTATGGCAGGAAACAAAGAAATCTCTGAAAGTTTGGTGTTATACATGGCATTGTATGAACAACTACTTAATATAGGGGCAACAAATTCAACGGACTTACTCAGATTCAGAATTCAAAAGAGAATACAAGTGGATAAGTCTTGTTCAAAAGAAGCAATTCTACTAATGAATCTACAGAAAGATAACAGCCCCATACATAATAATGTTATAGTACAGATATTTATGAACTGATGCAAACAGGATGAAATGTCACTGACATGGACCCAGATAGTACTATCTGTTTTCAACTCATTTCTGGCAACTTACCTGTCAAATCAACATCTCAGGAGAAATTCAAACTGGCCCATGATAATGCTGATCTTGCCCACCAACAGCTTCTGTGTCCTTCATCTAACTGATTTATCAATGATTATACCAAGTTCAATTGGCCTTATATTTAATTGATTTCCTATCTTCCCACTTCTCTAGGCACCCACACCATCTTTTTCCTTAAATCTCTCTGCATACGTATGTATGTATGGTTTTGCGGTAGTAGGGGTTAAACCCAGGGGCACTCTACCACTGACGTATATACCTAGCCCTTTTTATTTATTTGTACTTTTTAAATATTTTTTATTAGTGCAGTGTAGTTATACAAAATAGGTGGGTTCATTTTGACATAATTATACATTCACAGAATATAATTCACTATATTTTAGAACTCAGTACTTCCCCTTTCAGAGTCTCACTAAGTAGCCAGGGCTGGCCTTGAATTTGTGATCCTCCTGCCTCACCCTCTCAAGCTGCTGGTATTACAAAGCATGTGCCACTGTGTCCAGTTAAACCTCTGTTTAGAGGTAAATGTCACATTCACATCCTTAGTCAAGACAAGTCCTACTAGCTACCACATTCAGGCTCCCCTAAAATGGTAGAGATGACGGGGTGAAGACAAAAGGAAGTCATAGCCAGGTGACACTGTACTAATATAAATTTCAAAGTTGGCATATAAAAGGAAGAAAGATAATGACAGAAACTTTCTATCCCAACACTTGTTGGGCATCTAATTTTGCAAATATACTACGAGTTTCTCCCAGGTACAGTCTCAGTAAATTGAATTAACAATTTTGTCTCAGAAGATAGAGGAAACAGTAGCTGATATCTGTTGTGTAAGAACTTATAGTATCTCCTATTTTGCAGAAGAGAAAATGAAAGATTAGGTAACTCATCAAAAGTCACACAGCTAAAAAGCAACAAGAGCTTAGACTTCAGTGTAGGTCTGTCTGATAATAAATTCTACGTTCTTAACCGTACTGCAAAAGAGAACTATTATCCTGAACTCAGTTCCAAACAGTAAAATAGAAAAATGTCAAAGGAACTAAAAATTTAATATGAGGGAAATTTCAGGAAATAAATTATCTTTGTTTTAGAAATGCAAACAGTAATAAAATAGAACAAAAGTAGTACATGTACCCTAGATATCAGGACAACGTATTTCAAAGCATTCTGAGAATGGTAGGTATGAGTCTATTATTTAAAAAAGACTATATAATCAAGAATTTACAAAAGACAAAAAAAAAAATCACTAAAACAGTATGTGAAAGGTAAACACCCAGGATAAATCTTATAAAAGCAAAAAAACAAAAAACAAAACAAAAAACCCTAAAGCCCAAAAATGAGCTTTGAAAGCAATACCCAGAAAAAAATAATTAATGAACAAATAAACTTGCACTGCTTAAGAAAGAGGATGTTAACTGATTCCAAAACAGAGATGTTCCTATTTTATCACTATCTTCCAGAAAGATGATCCTCAAAACAAAACCAGAATAAATTAGAAAGAATTGATGTGTGGGTAGGATGACAGGAAAAAAGGTTTTAAATGAGCCCAAGTTTCTAGTTACAAAGAGAATTAATTCCAGGGATAAAAATCTCTCAGTTACTGCAGGTAAATTTTAAAAGTCAAGAGAAAACAAAGGTTACAGGATATGAATAACTTTCGAATGTTATACTCATTTCCAAAAAGGAAAAAAATAATAGATTATGGGACCTATAAACAAGTATACCAAAATTTCATAAGGAAAAAATATGGTCAAACTAACTTAATTTCTTCTTTGATTTTACATTCAGTTGGTACTGTGGGGGAAATACCAGAGCCATGCAACACAATTTCACAGAAAGAACCAAATTTTTCATTATCTTTTTGTAGGTATCTTGACAATGAACCAGATTGCACAGGTGACAGGCTCTGAAGTTGGCTGAATACCACCAAGCAGTGTGATTTAATTAAAAGCCAGCATTTTCTAGTTTTCAGAAAAGGACCACAATCCATTAAGCATTTACAGATGATTTAAAATTATATTTTTTAAACTTTGATGTCCTAGACACCATAAATGACTTAACAAATATGCTAACAGTCCTAACTTGGTAGAGTTACTAGAGTAAGACAAATATCAAAACAACACTAAAATATGATCAGGAGCTAAAATGAACAAAATGGAACCTATTCTTTAAAGGCCTGCACTGTAGTGTACAAGTATAGAATGGGGTTTAAACTGGCTGTAACTCATGTGAAAAAGATCTGAACATTTAAATTGCCCACAGCTCAAGGAACAATCATGTCCTTGTATTTAAAAAGCTAATAAAAGCTGGACACAGTGGCACATACCTATGATTCCAGTGGCTCAGAAGGCCAAAGGGAAATAGTTCAAATCCAGCCTCAGCAACTTAGTGAGACCCTGTCTCAAAAAATAAAAAGGGTTGGGGATGTGGCTCAGTGGTTAAGTGCCCCTGGGTTCAATCCCTTGTACAAAAAAAAAAAAAAAAAAAAAACCGAAAACTAATCTTTCAGAAAAGTGGAAAATTTCAAGAAACACATGATGCACCTTAGAATTCTAAACAGTTATAAAACAGAACAAAAGTAGTAGATACATTACTTTAGACATCAGGACATAAGACATTACAAAGAATGTAGTAATTATGTTCAATAATAGATCCATTTGGAAAATTATCTGATGCTCACATCATAAGATGACACTACCTATACCTCTTTTTTCTAGTCACAAGTTAATTCCCTCTCCTCTTATAAAGATTTCAACACCCAGTTTACTGTCTCTCACCAATACCACTCCTGTTGCAATTCTTGGTGATCTCAGTGTCCATGTAGAAGATGACTCACTAAAACACCCTGGCCTCTAAGATATTAATTTTTCTATGATTTAGTCCTTAACTAATACCACTACCCCTCCTAATCCATCTATTTCACGTCTTTCCTTAAACCTCCCCCATCTCTTCCCCACTGTTTGTGATGACTTTGCTTCTTATATAACAGACAATATGGTATTAATATGAAAAGATTGTCTACATTTTCCATCACATCTATAAACTCACTTCTATCCACAAACTCTACTTCTTCTCATGTTACTACCGTCCTGTCTGTGCTCCTACTTAATCTAACCTTTTATACCAAATCCTAACCTCTAATTTGAGTGAATGCCACAAGAAAAAAGAGATTTTTTGCTTCAATCTAAGAGCCCCTTTTAACACTACAGGTGTCAAAAAAAATGAAATGAATTGTATCATAAATAGCTAATTAACTGTAGGATTCCTTTGAAAAAGGTACTTTTATAGTAACTGGAAAATAAGCAATCAACTCAGTACCCTTTCAAATCTAGAATTCTATGATTTTAGAAAATATAAAATTGGGACATATTCTAGTATAAGGTAACAGTATTAACTGGACTGTGCATGCTTTTCTCACCCTTGGCAAATGCTGTTAAGTTTCTCAAAGGTTTCTCTGCTGACTACAAAAGTTTGGGAGAAGGAATAACAATGAAACTAAAGAAAGATAAATGCCATTTTCTACTGTTTTTTTGAAATTTGTCTAGCCATTTTGTTTTCATTTTCATGCTGTTCTATTTCTAGAATTGCTACCTTGGAGACTTCTAGTTTCTAACAGAAATGCATCTTTCAAGAACAAGTATGTAAGATAATTCTTAGAACACCCTTGAATACGAGAATGAGATCATGGTATTTGAGCATTATAGAGTATTTACTAATTAAATAGTAATTTATTATTTAAAATCTTTATTCTGCAACTAATTTAAAAGAAAGGGACATTATAATGAAAAAGCAAATGTTGTGTAAATGTGAAAAAATCACAAACAAATTTTATTTACTGCTTGGACTATAATAAGTAAACTGCATACATCAAGTTAAATATATTTACCTTTAACAATCTTCTTTGCACAATCATTGTACACTTGCTCTTGAGATGTACTTGACTGGAACACCCGATCAAATGCATAAGGTTTGGACTGAAAAACAGAAAAGCATTTCAATTACACAAATAAAATGGTGAGAGCATATTTCTAAGCTCCTTTAAAGATGTCATCATATATTTAACCTTCAAAGTAACATACACAGTATGCATCATTTCATGTTATTTATCTTAAGTAGAAGGGATCTTAAATGGTTCCCCATGTACAAATCCATTAGAATAATCTCTATGAAAACAAGAATTTCTGTTTTAGTCTTTGTTATGTTCCTAGGGCCCAGTCCAGTAATTACAATTAGCACTACTATGGTAGCCAGTCAGATACTGCTGATTTTTTTTTTTTAATGTCTAATGTCTACTCTGGCAAGCATTGTGTCTCTATTTTCAATGCTTAATATGGTTTTGTAGATAAGGAAACTAGGACTTTGAAAGTCCTAGTTACTTACAAAAATTGGTAATGAGAAAACTAAATTTGAATTCAAATACTTCCATTAATTTTGTTAGTAAAACAATTATACTAAAATCAGGCCTCTTTCTAACACTCTACTCAGCTTTTCAGTTTACTGAAACAGCTTTTGAAGCACTGTTTCATTTAACATATATTTATGGAATGTGAGATGCCACCAAAGAATGATGACCAAGATGATACTCTCTTTACTTTAGTGGAGATTAAGTAATAGTGGGGCAGACTAGTTAGACTATTAACTGACTAGAATTCTGACTCATGCAGCTGGATACTTTCACAGTTCTAAGAGAATACAGGAGAACTTGAATTTAGGGGAGAGTAGGAAAATGTCAGGAAAACACTCTTAGAAAAGAGATGTTTAAGAATCTAAGAATAAGTAGCACCTAGCTCACTGTCACCCTCTTCAACAACAGTCAGGAAGGGGTGGAGGTTAGTGAAGAATAGTAGTGTAGGAATTAAGAATAGATGCTTAAAGATTCTAAAGCAGAAAGGAGCTTATAGCATTCAAGAATCCAAAGGAAGTAGAAAAGAATCACAATATAGTATCCAGATAAATCAAAGAAAAAAAATATAGCCCTGAGGCCAAGACAAAACTGAAAAGTATAAGGTTAAAAATAAAAAAAAAATAGGTTAATATTAGTATTATTAATATTAATAGGTTAAAAAAAAACAACAAGAAAAAGGGAAGAAACCAAATAGAACAGAAAATTTGGCCGTGGTCTACTTTATTCGCTTATATTTTTAAAAGATGGGCAGACATGAATAAGTATAAACACTAGCAGGAACAATCAAATAATCCAGTAGGGAGAGTGAGTATCTAAAGATGAGAGAAAGAGGACAGGAGGTTCTGGGTATTTGCAACCATTTGCCTGCCCTCAGTTTCTTCTAAAGGAAAAGAAGCTGGGCCCTAACAGACAAAACAATTATGACCCCAGAAAAAACATAACATTATAGAATACTTTCTAGGTCTTAGTTGGAAAAGATCTACTTTTTCAGAAATTATATTATAGTCCTCTCCCCAAAGCTTGGAAAACAGTTAAAATGAAGCAGACACTCCCTAAAGAGCTATCCAAAGTCATTCCTAATTCCCTTTTGCCTTGCTACCTCCCATTGGAAACCTGAAGGCCAGCTAGCCTAGTCTCCTTGCAATTAGTGGTCACATGACCTAATTCTGGATAATCTGAAATGGTCATTTGCTGAGAGGTCTCTGAGAAGGGTGTTGTTTTCCTGATAAAAGGGACCATTTCAGCTGAAACTGCTCTTTTTCCTTCCTATAATGAATCACTGGAACTGTAGCATCCATCTTGGAAACATGACAAATATTATGATGAAAATTCAACAGTTATGAATAACAAGAATTTAACAGAACAGGGTTATAGAAATAGAAGGAGTTAAGGGCCTGTTCTTAGCTTTTTGTTATGTGAGAGAAATAATCTCCTATTTATTGAAGCCACTACTGTTTGTTTTCCCTGTACTTCTAAAAGCATTCCTCATAAATACATTAAGATGACCTCACTTTATCATCAATTTTAAAATGGCATCAATATCTGATTATTCTTTAGCTATAACATAGATGAAAGTATCTTTTGCTAAGGTGCTACTGAAACATTAATATTCAATTCCACAGTTATGATTAAAAAATACGAATCAAATTTAAAAGACATATTCATGGTAAATAACACTGAAAACATATAAAACTAAAAGTGTATTCACTCCCAGCAGCTCAGGAGGCTGAGATAGGAGGATCATGAGTTCAAAGCTAGTCTCAGCAACAGCAAGGCACTAAGCAACTCAGTGAGACAGTCTCTAAATAAAATACAAAACAGAGCTGAGGATATGGCTCAGAGATTGAGTGCCTGAGTTCAATCACCAGTACCAAAAAAAAGAATATTCACCACCCAGAGATAAACCATGCGAATAGTTTTTCTATATAAAAGAAAGTAATCTTTCCTCTTTATTTATCCAGAAAACACTTAATGATTATAAAATATCAGATATTATGGATAAATAACACAATTTTATAAATGATATTTAATTATACAATAGACTGTAGAGTTCAAAAAGTAATAAAGGATAAGGCTGGGTAGAGCTCGATTATCAACAGAAGTTATATACTAGGAATCTATAATATAGGTGATAAAGTAATGTTAATTGAGTTGAAATGGAGATAGCCTAAATCTGGTAAAGAAGCCAAGAGATTGTAACTAGTCAAAATATACATTTAAAATCAGTTATGTAAATAAAGAATGATACGAAAGCAAAAATTAATAGTTAATGCTAATTTTGCTTACAAGAAACAAGTTAATGAATAGAAAATGGGAAAAACTATGAAGTATCCCTTCAAAAATAATAAAACCTTATTAAAATAAACATTTAAAACAGAAAGAATAATATTACTAGGCTTAATATCATCACTCAATTTTTATATCAATTAAAAATAGTGGTCCTAAACCATTTACAAAGAGATGTGCTAGAAATGACGGGTAACAGTAAAGCCTGCCTTAAAAGAACTTCATGCAATTATTTACTTTATTAGCATCTCGAAGCAAATATGCAAAACTACCACTACAACCTTATTAAAATAATATAAATGGCAATGACTAAGTTGCTGAGGCTGGCCTCAAATCTGTGATGCTCCTATCTCAGCCTTGTCCCTAGTTGTTGGGATTATTGCCTTAGGCCACCGCACCAGAATAAATGTCAATGATTAAAAGATAAAGCACAAATATAAAAATAAATAAGTTGAAAGAGAGTGATTTATATAATTAATTGTTAAACAAAAAAATCAACTTAAATGCTTAGCATTAAGTTGACAGTAGTCTTCTTGACTGCAAAACTTAATTATAGTTTTAGTAAGCAAGGTGAATGTTTTGATTAAAGATCTAGTTGAAAAGTTATTAATTGACCCTGGCTTCCTGGGTTGAAATCAAGACTGTGAAACAAAATTTATTTGTAATGGTGTATAATTAAGGCATCTCAATTTTTCAAATAGATTAAACAAAGAAAAATAATTATCCAAACAGCTATATTTTTAAAACCTGGTTTTTAGACTTGAAATATACATGATGCAGCCTATAATTCTATGTATCTTCAAAATTACTCAGTTTTACAAACCTCAAGTCATAAGATGCATTCATATCTGACTTAGGCTTCAGGAGGAAAAATGAAAAAGAACAAGTTTATCTGAACTAGAACTCATACCTCAGATTTCTTAAATGAAGTGAGCCTGTTTTGAGTCTAAAACAGACCAGACTGAATACCAAATTTGGTTTTGAAGCACACCCCCTAAGATTTTTCTTTATCAGACAATGACTTTGGGTTAACATTCCACAATTATAAAGGTAAGTGATGATGGTTCCCTCTTGCGATTTTCATACAAAGTACACCATCAAATCACGCCCAAATCATTGATGACTTAAAAAGGGAAATCATGTTTTGCTTTAGGCAAGGAAATGGGCAAGATGATTTAATTAGTATTCTTTTTCTAATTTCAATGAACTACAATAGGTGGTTTTGGGTTCTAGCCAACTTCTATAGTATACCACATAAGAAACTACAATTAGCAATGATTTAATCATGCAAATGAACATAAGCAGGCACAGAAGTTTTTCTATTGATTTTGTTTTTAGTGTTTTTCAGCAAGCTCATTTGAACTTCCTGTTTTGTGGGTAAGTTCTCTAATTTAAAACAAACTGATTATATTTGTATCATTTTAAAATTTCCATTAAAATCATTCATTTCATTCGATGTAATATTTATAGCACTTCACTAAGCATTTAAATTGCTAATAAATTAAAAGCTGTATAACACAAAGAAAAACACCATAAAATCAAAAGGCTTGCCTGCCATGGGGTAATATTATGTTAAAGTCACTGCTTCCTTGAGTAACAGAATGATATTTACACAAAGTATTAAAAATTAAACTTAGAAGAAAACCAGAATCCTTAAAAATTATTTTCTCCATGAGCACTATTTATGCTTACAATTCAGTAACATCATAAGCTAAAATACATGTTTTAATTTTTTTAAAATATTTTTTTAGTTGTAAACAGATACAATACCTTTATTTTATTTATTTGTGGGTTTGTTTTTTTTTTTAAATATGATGCTGAGGATCGAACCCAGTGCCTCACACATGCATGGCAAACACTTTACCAACTGAGCTACAACCCCAGCCCACATGTTTAAATTTTTATGTAATGTTTACATACATGTCAAAACTGATCAAACTGCATACTTCAAATATGTGCATTTTATCGTACTTCAATTTTATCAATAAGGCGATGAAAAAAAATTTTAACTTGAAAACTATTCAGATGTTTTTAAATCACATTTAAGATAAATAAAACAAACCAGGCGATGGATCTCTGGAGATTTTCTAATTTTATTCCTTCCAGTTGCCCTATGATTGATTCAAAAAACTGAACAAAATACACAATTGTCACATAATAAATGTACCTATTATATGCAAGAAAGCAGTTCCTGAAAATAAGGAACTACCCATTCCCTTACACTTTTTAAGGCTATGTAACCGAATCATAATGTATTTTCCCTTATACTTTCTAAAAAGACCAACAAAAGGCTCACAAGTTTATCTAAAGGTCAACAAAATGCTTATTACTGATTCATAAACAAAACACCTATCCTTTACTTCTAATATTTTCATTTATTCCTACTTTGAAAGAAACTTATAAATTTTCCAAAGGAAATGGCCTAGAACAATGTTTGGTTCCTATGATAATTATTTGGTTTCTTTTAAGTCTTTCTTCATATTTTAAGTCATATTTGAGCAAAAAAGTTTACTTTCTAACCTAATCATAATAATTTTGTGAGTCCTAGATTTTAGCATTCCAACAAACACAATTCTTATACTCATAGGTTTGTTTAAAAACAAAAGTCTGAAGAGGCAATACAAGTGGGAAAGAAAAAAATAGCTATGTTAAGTAAAGCATTGCTGAGTAATCACAAAAACTTAAGAAACTGGTAGCCTCAAGTTTGATAACTAATCCAGGAGACTCAAGCATCCACTCATTCCATGTCAATGCCATGGAAAATACATCCTCCTAAAGGAAAAGGATCACTGTGCTTAACTTCTCCGCCTTGCTATGATGTCATTTATAGCTAGAGTTTTTCTTGCAGACTTGTTAACAAAGAACTGGCTTGACAGTTTTCACACAGCAGCAGTTTGCAGTTATTAGTGACCTAATGATTTTTTCTTTTTTTCCCTCAAAAGCCTATTAAGAGGATGTGAAGTTAACACATTCATTTTCTAAAGTTGAACTTTGGAAACCCTCACATTAAAATTCCAAACAATTTCAGTCCTGTTTTCTACATTAATACTTTCAAGTCATCAATGTCCCATCTCCTGTGACCTCTCTGTTCTATTTCCAAATTAAACAGCACAAATACACTAAATAAAAAAATGCATTAGAGGAAATAATGTATTAACATATTACAATTGTATACCTTGATAACAATGTAGGAAAAAAAAAGTACTACCACATGACATTACCAAAATAGATGAATTTAATTTTTAGTCATAGTTCACTGTATTGTATGCAATATCTTATTCACATTTAATCTACTAGAACTAAAAATGCTACTTTCTCAGATCTCAAAAAATCCTCACTTCTGGTCTTCCTAAATGATAGTCAAAACTAATTGTTCTACTCTAGGAAAGAACAATGGTTTATTATCTCTGGGATTACCAAAATCAATTTTCTTCAATGTGGACCTTAACTGTATAAATATGAATCCAACAATGGTCAATTGTTACTTTAAAAAGTATCTTTATTTTGTTTATTTTTATGTGATGCCGAGGATTGAACCCAGTGCCTCATATGTGCAAGGCAAGCCCTCTACCACTTAGCCACAACCCCAGCCCTCAACTGTTACTTTTTATAAATTTGTTTTTATTAGTACTTTCTGTCTGATACAGTGGTAACACTTTTTCCTAAACTGCTACCCCATAAAACCGAGTAAATTTGAAAGTCTGAATTTTTCTGATGTTTATCTGACCAAATCTTAATCTGCTTAAATCTACCATAAAATTAAATTGATAATTCCGATTTTAAGGAAGACGATTTCTTTTTACCGTCCTCGATTTTTCACAGTAACTGTTTAAATGAAAAGTCATTCATCTCTCAAAAGATAGGTAGGTGAACATTTGGGACAGGTATGTTTGTAGTTGTACGTTAGCTTTCCAAAACTAGTTTTATACTAAGCATCATTAAGAGTTAAGATACATTAGGACTGGTTTCATGGCTCAATGCTTTAGTTAAACTCGGAATTAATATTACACATTTAATGAATGGTAAATGAGGCGGGGGGCGTAATCCAAGATACCAACAGCATCAGCAACAGTAGGAGCACAAACACTGGCAAAAGTGCCCTAAGCTCCCCGAGGGTTCCCCCAGCGCCCCAGGTGGGGGAGTGTCCCAGGCTGAGCCTAGGCGCCTCCCATCTCCTCGCGCGGAGGACCCGGGTGGGGACGATCCAGGAATGCCACTGGACTCAACTGAACAGTTTCCACGACTGAGTGATTTGAACCTGCGAAAACCCGCAGGAAAGTGTTCGGGACACCAGTGTTCCCTCTCGATTCTGCACCCCGCCACGTCCCTGAACTCCCAGCCCAGGCAGGCTCGAAGAAGCGGCACGAGAGGTGGGGGCGGGGGTCACTCACCGCGATCATGACCGTGTCTTCTCCCTGAAACTTGGCGATATACTTGTCGCCGCGGTTCACCTCAGACTCGTTGAGAGGTCTGAAGCGACACATTACTTTGATGTTGCACTCGGCTGGGTCCGCCATCTTCCTTGCAGCCGGGGCCAGAGGCCGGGAGCCACTCCCCGCCTCTCAGTCTTGGAGGGAGCGGCCTGAGCTGAGGGTCCGGGGTCGCAAGGGACTTGAGAGTCTGCCGTCTGCCGCGCTGCGCCGCGCCTCCCCAGGTAGGGGCGGCCGGGGAGCCGGGACTCTAGACGCCGGCGCCCGCAGCCCTGGCCCCGAGGCTCACTTCCGATCCATCATGGCAGCCATGGCGGCGGCTGTACCCGGTAGACCCGCGGCTGCTCCTTCAGCTTCTCCCTCGCGGGGCTGGGCAGACTCCTGGAACTGGGGAGATGCTGGGGCCCTAGAAAGTGGCCCTATCCTTTCTCCCGATAACGAGCAAGTCGGGCCCACCTGTCCGCCCGCGCGGCTGTCCACTTGCCGGCTTACACTGCCGGCTGACGCCCGATCCCTAGAGGCCACAGACCGGCGACTGGGCGCCGGGTAGGGTGGCGCTGAGGGGAGGACTGCGCAGGCGCGGTGGCCCGGCCGTCCAGACAACCAATCCCCGCTCGCTTCGCGCCGGCGGCTCAGCTGCCACTCCGGGCGGGGGTCGCAGATTCAAGTTCTCTGGAAGTTCAGCGCAGAAATTCCTTTAGAATCTGCGGCGGCTGTGTGCGACCAATCCGACCCGCCGCCGAATTCTTTAGACTCTCTCAGCCAACTTTTCTTTGGGAGAGAAGGAGTTTAACTATTAATGTTTTAGTTTAAATACATTTCCAGATCCCTATAAGGAAGTGTTTGCTTTCGTTTTTGCCCTGGGGAAAACATCACCTTTTTAAAGCGCGCTTCCAAAAAAGGGAGGTTTGAATGAAAGGGTGGGGCATGGCTCTCCTTGACGTAGTTGCTCCTTCTTCAGCTAATAGGTGGGAACCCAGGAGTAAGGGGGGTGTGGGGTGAGATTTCTCCTAAGGAATTAAAAAGGTTGCTGAAGAAATGTGGAGCAGTAGGATGAGATGGAGAACCCCTCCACTCCCCTCACCCCACAGTTTCTGTCATCCTCAGTTGTCCAGGGCCTAGCATCGCACAGGTGGGTGGCAGCCTCCCAAACCTGCACAGGAGCAGCCTCATACATATTCAATCAATCAGGGGTCCTACTTTCCCTCAACAATAGATTTACAGAATTCATCAATCTCAATGAGAGGAAAGGGTTGGGATGGGTATGACTGACCTGTAGCATAAAGATGCTCTTAAAAAGGCCTAGATAAGTTTGTGGATTACATGTCTAAGTAATCCACTCCAGAGGCTGGTAATGTTGCTCAGTGGTAGAGCACTTACAGAGCACGTCTGAGGCCCTGGGTTCGATTTCCAGCACTACAAAAAATTATTTTTAGAAGAAGGATACCATATATCTTCTTCATGCGGAAATGGCTCTGGGGTGCTGAGAACTTCAATGACATTTAAAACTCTCCCTCCGGCACCCAGTTTTTGTTTGCAAAATGAAAAATTGGACTATGAAAACCTCCAGTGTCTTCTGTGCTCACCCAAGCATCCTAATACCTCCAGAAATGAACCTATTGTTTTGTAGGTTTAGTTTGACATGCTGAATGAAGGAGAATTTACATCAGCAGGATGGTGGAGCATCCCACCAAACAAAGGAAAAAGTGGAGTAATCACAGGCCATTGGGGAGACGTGTGGCATCCTGGTAAAATTTAAATGACACAGTGTTTTGAAAGGCCTCATGAGAAACAGAACTATGAGTAAAAGCATCAAATTTAATATAGATGTGAAACCTGCAAATTTAATATAGATGTGAAATGTCTTCAGAAACACCCTTCCCCCGCACCAAAAAAACCCTCTTCACCTACCTTGGAAATCAAGGCTATTTCTCTATGTATTAGATTCTCCAGGCAGGAATGTTTTGTTCTGACTGTTGTAATTTGTAACAGTAATTTCTGATTAGTCTATGATTTTAGAGAACAAAGTTTCTCAGCAAGAAACCAGTAATCAAAGAAAGAGGTTGTTGTGACACTTTATGGATTCAGCATGTCCTTGAAGGAAATACTTTTCCCTGTTCATTTTGAAACTGTGTTTTTTAGCCCAGTCTTTCTCACTTCTTCAGTCTTTTTATTCTTCATCTGATTTCTCCATTATCTTTATGTCCTATTACCCTTATCTCTAATTTCAGAAAAATTAAAAAACAGCTACCTCCCTCTCTAAAATTAATTTTCACTTACATCCTGAATTCTAACTCCAATAACTGGATTATACCAATGTTCATCAGCTTCTTATATATTTAATTTCTCCCTTTTCTCAGCTTCCTTGAAGGAAAAACAGGAAACAAATATGCTTAATCTTTCCATCTTTCAAACAACAACAACAAAACCTAACATCTTCATTGCTGACTGTTAGCCTCTGTCAAAGATAAAGCCAGACCCTAAAGTGATAAAGACAGATTTTAATCAGTAATAAACTATTGCAATAAGCATTAAAAATTACAAACAAACAACAATGACAAAAAAACAGGAAGTGGAAGTTGTTTTATGTGAAACCTATTTGAGTTTGTTTACTGGTCATATATAGAAGTTAGGTTTCTACACTTTCACAGATGCTGAGAGATAAGGACCCTATCTTCTGTTGTTTTCTGGTAGTGTTTTCTGTGAAATGTACTTTAAAGGCAGCTGAGGTCATCCTAGGGATGTGTCATTCAGCTATTAGAAGTTATGTTAGTATTTTGTTCAAGAACTTGTAGGCCAAGGGTGAGACCTAACTGAGAAACACCTCAGAGGAACCTGACTAGAGTTCAGTCAAGAAGAGAATCTTGTCACTTTTGTAGTATATGTAGGTGAAATTCACTAGAAAGGATTATGTCCCACTGCTCAGAGTCAGCCCCATCTGATAATAGCAGTGGTTATTTAACTCTCTACATGAAGAATGTGGGCCCAACATTGTTAAGTCTTCCTGTTTTCCAAAAAAAGGCATAATTTAGATAGTGTTTAAACTCCTGATGTTAAGTTAAATTTGCCATCAATATAATAATAATTTAAATAATATGTGAGCTAAGTAAAATGTGTCTAGTATGCTAGATACAGGTGTGCTGCCAGCTCAACCTTTGCAGCAGGATGTCATGAAGGTTTTATCCTCAGTCCTCTGCTCTATTATCTCTCAGCTCACTTCCTCAACAATTGCTGGAATCTCTTTGTCTACAACCTTACCTTTTCATCTCTATAATGTTCCCATCTCTCCAGCCATCTTATCATAGCATATATGCTATACCATAGCCTCAAATTTAGCATTTCAGAAATGGAATTAAAGCCGGCCACAGTGGCACATGCCTGTGATCCCAGGAGCTCCAGACACCTGAGGCAGGAGGATAGTGAGTTCAAAGCCAGCCTCAGCAACAGCGAGATGCTAAGCAACTCAGTGAGACACTATCTCTAAATAAAATATAAAATAGGGCTGGGGATGTGGCTCAGTAGTCGAGTGCCCTTGAGTTCAATCCCTAGTACCTACCTGCCCCCCCCCAAAAAAAGAAATGGAATTAATTGTCTTCCACTCCCTGCCAAGACTTAATTCAACTACTCAGCTTTCTAGTTTTGATGACTGGAATCAATCAGCATCCTTCCAGGTTAAGAAGTTTACAATCACTGGTAACTAGTCTGTATCTGAAGTTCCTCAGTTTTCCACTCCATTGCTCTCTTTTGTTCCCCAGCTTGGGAAATCTGAGGAATATTTGATCTAGAGCAGTGATTTCCATATTCTACTCCATGGAAACAGAGGTTCCAAAGAGGTGACTCAGGAGACTTTCTGGGTATAGGCAGGGAAAGGAGGTGAATAGAAGGGCCACAGAATGAGGCTCTGGGAATCTCTATAAGGTACCAATCAACTTCTATTGACCCTCAACCCACACCACTTCCTTTTTCCTGAACAGCAGATTCTGAAAGTTCAGGCTTCATTAAAACAAAAGCCAGAAAAGAAAGTGTCCTGCAAAAGCCTTCTGCTTTCAGACCTGCTGTGCATACTTCTCCTGGACAAGGGAGCATCAAGATCATGAGTGTCACCACAAAAATAGAGGAGAAAGGGCTGGGGCTATAGTTCAGTGGTAGAATGCTTGCCTAGCATGTGTGAGGCACTGGGTTTGATCCTTAGCACTATATAAATATAAACAAACAAAGCAAAGGCATGCTGTTCATCTACAACTACAAACATTTTTTAAAAGAAAAATCCCATGTGAAAAACAAAACCTATCTAGAAATTTCCCCGTCACACTAGTAAAGAATAATGGTATCAGGCAATAAGGGTTCCAGAAATACTTTCATGGATAAACAAAAGATTGATTTAAAAAAAACTGGTTAGTTCCGTTTTTTTCTCAGTTCCAGTTTTTTTCTCAAAAAGACTTTTTATTCCACATTAGCAGAGAAATAATAGGTTTCCATATAGTTTGAAACTTATTGACACAACTTTTAAATATGAAAATCGAAATCATACCTTTACTTATACAGATTAAAAACATTAAATTATCACTGTGGAAGTTAGTTGCTAATGATTATCCTCCCAGGAACCATGCCTCCTTTGATTCACACCTTTGTGCAATTTCCTTCCTAGAACCTTGGCTGGACCTATGATACACTTATAACTAGTGTAATATGCCAGAAGTGCATGATATTGCATGCTGAGATTAGGTAAGAAGAACCTTTGCTGCTTCTATCTTAGTCTCTTGCAAGACTCTTTCTGACTGCCATATAAGCAGACTAGCTATGCTGCATGGTACTGGAAAGGTCACATGTAGGCACTCCAAGCTATTGTCCCAGCTGATCCTATCCTTCTACTCATCCCTACCTAAGGACTAGGCTTATGATAAAGCCATCTTGGGCTATCCAAATCAGTATATTAACCCACTGAATACCAGTGAGTAATCTCAATTGACAATCTCAGAATAGAAGAATCACCTAGCTGAGGCCTGTCCAGATTCCTGACCCATAAAATCATGAAATACAATAAAATGGTTATTGTTTTAAGTTGCTCAGTTTTGAATAATTTGTTACATAGCAATTGATAAATGAAATAATAACCTACAATTTGGAACTTAAAATTTACCACAGAATAATCTGTAAAATGTTACTTAGATCTAATAAATATATTTAAATTGAACTCTATTTTAGATTAATTATAAATTAAATAGTTGAAGGAAGGTCTTACAACTACTGTTTAGGACATTATTATTGTAAGAAAATATGTTTTATATTTCTTGTGAAATTACTTTTTAAAACAGGTTTTTAGAATAGGAAATAATAGCATATCTTCCTTACTCTCCCACGCGCCTTGGTACTAGTGTTTAAATACTGGGGCTACACCCCCAGTCCTTTGTATTTTATTTTGACATGAGTTCTTGCTAAGTTGCTGAGGCTGGCCTCCAACTGCAATCCTTCTGCCTCAGCCTTTTGAGTACCTGGGATTCCAGGTGTGTACCGTGATGCCAGGCTAGCTTCTCTCTTTTCAAGTGTGTAGAAGACACACAT